CACGCAATACAATGAATTTCCCTCCATCGCAATGAGGCTGGACCTTACCGTGATGCGATGGTTTGTATGCCTCAGCGATGCATTGAGCTATGCCGGTTGGTGCATTTTTTTGAACCTTCAGAGCCACTCATACCAGATTGGTCAATGGTCAGAGGCTAGACATGCTCAGCCTCCTGGTCCTCCAGGTTGGAGGTTGGAATGAGATGGCTCCTTATTCCTTAAAACGGACTCCTTGTAGACTAACGTCAAACCCGCTGTCTTGCGGACAGGTTTTTGAACCAAAGGCTTTGGTTGAGAACCTTAATCGTTCTCCTGTCTAGGCCTGGGCAACCTGACAGTATCCTACCCACGCAATACAATGATTTTCTCTTCAAACAGTTTCTTGATGCTCTGGCCACCGCAGAGGATAATCAACGGTGCCCTATCTGCTGCATCGAGCTTAGTGGATAGGGGTTTAGATGTTACTGCTCAAGCCTTTCCATCTTCTTATTTCCTCTCTTACGCTTTTTCTGTCTTACCATCCCTTTCCAGCTTCACTTTTATTCCCCCTGTTTTCAACCCCCCAATTCTTGGCCCTCCCCCACATTGCTTTGCTAGGCTTTTCTAGTTTCAACTCACCTATGAACGCGGAGCGTCATACCTGTCCTGTCGATAAGCCCATCTCCAACCAAGCGGCCAAGCCCAATTCATCTACTTCCATTAGGAGCCCTCGATCGGCCTTCAGATTGGCATGCCTCAATGTACGCACATTGCTATTTACAGATGGCTCAACAGACAGAACTTGCCCGAACATTAGAGACCCTCTCGATCGCTATCTGCTGCTTATCGGAGTCCCGTCTGCAAGACTTGAGCTCTGTGCCCACTTTGCGATTCCCTTCAGATGATACCTACAGCACTTTCTCATTGCGCCTATCCGGTGACGATGCAGCTTCGAGCACCGGCCAAGCTGGTGTTGGTATCGCCCTGAGTCTCCGGACTGAAGCTGCTCTGGTTGATTGGATTCCAATCCGTAGCTGGATGTGTGCGGTTGGATTGGCTGGTTCGTTGAAAGGTTCGAAGTCGCGCGGGACTAACAGGTGTCTAATCGTCATCGCTGCCTGTGCACCCACAAACTCTAGCTATGATTCGGTAAAAGACAACTATCGCCAATTGAACGAGCCTCTTTGCCACAGAAGAAGCTTGGACACTGTTGGGGTGGCTGGGATCTGAAGGCTCAAATTGGAAAGTTGCCCACTGATGAACTGCATCTGGGCGGCCAATATGGTGTAGGCTCCCGTAATGATAACAGTGAGCGGTTTTGTGAAGATGTCCGCTTATTTCTTGCGAGCACTAATTTCCGACACAGCACCCGCCGGAGGGTGACTTGGCGCTCACCAGCCTCGCACCAGCTATGGACGCAAATCGATCACATTGCGATAAGTTACCGATGGAGGGACTGCGTCCAGAACTGTCTCTCGATTTGGAGCCCAGGTGTGGACATCGACCATGCACTTGCATGTGCTGACCTGCGGATGCGTTTTGGCGGACGCCGAAGATGATGTTGTGAGCTCATTGACACCAGTCAACTGGCGAAACCAACTGTTCTGATTTGCTCTCGAACTACGCAACGAGACTGGACCTTAACGTGGTGCGACGGTTTGCGTACCTCATTGACCCATTGAGCTATACTGGGTGATGCCTCCGGGCACCTTGAGAGCTACTGCTACCAGGTTGGTCAATGGTGAGAGGTCAGACTTACTCAGTCTCGTGGTCCTCCAGGTTGGGGGTTTGAAATGGGATGGCGTCCATTTCTTTAAAACTAAATCATTGACACCTCCCCACTGTCTTGCGGACAGGCTTTTGAGCCAAAGCCTTTGGATGAGGACCCTAATCGTCCTCCTGTCTAGGTCTGGGCGCCCTGGCAGTATCTCAGCCCACATATAACCACGACATTTTCTTCAAACATAAACTTCATCCTGCATTGGCCGTCGCGCAGATTATCAAGCGTCGCCTTATCTGCTGCATACAGCAGGGCGGATAAGCGAAAACATATTACTGCTGGTGTCTTCCTTCTTTCTTTTCCACCTGCTTCTCTTACTGCCATTCCGACCCCCCATTACTAACTTTCATTCCCTAATTCCCAGCTTAATTGACAGCAACCAAAGTGCCACTGGAGTAGAACCATTTGCAGCCACCTGGCGACACGCACCAAACGCCTATCGGCAGCAGCCCTATAAAACCACGCTGTTCAGTTTCCATGGCGGTGTTCAACTTTCCCACTCTAAAACAAATTAGTTGACGGGCTGCACTCGCCCGCACCTTGAACACACTGGGTATTGATGTGTGTTGTGTGTCCGAAACTAGGATCAATGACCCTTACGGGGTTATTGAATTAACTGCACCCGACTTATCCCCTCGTTATTGGTTGCACGCATCCTGAAACGCCGATGCAGTAGTCACGGGTCAAGCTGGTGTAGGTATCATTCTAAGCTCCAAGGCTGAGCCATCGTTGCTTTATTGGATTCCGGTGAACAGCCGTTTATGTGCCGCCCGTTTGACGACATCAGCTAAGGTTGATTCACGAAGTAGTACAAAACGCTGTTTGTTCGTGATTTCCGCTTATGCTCCCACCGACTGCAGTTGAAATACTGTCAAGGACTCATTCTATCGGGAACTGAATGCGCCATTACGCAGAGCTACTAGTTCACATATTCTAGTACTTGAAGGGGATATGAACGCACAAGTAGGGCGTCTGAGCTCTTCAGAAACTCAGCCAGGTGGTAAATGTGCGCTTAACTCCGAACGGACTGACAACGGTGAGCGTCTGCTGCAACTGTGTGCGGAGCACCAGTTGTTTCTTAGTAGCAGGACGTGCCATGGACGGTTAGTTTAGAGCCTCCGTCGGAGGCCGAGGTCCGGAACGCGATTACAGCCCTCAATCGTTTTCGTGCCGCTGGCCCGGATTCCCTCCCACCTGCACTATTTAAGGCTGGAGGTGAGGTCCTCTGCAAAGCACTGACCTCCTTATTCGAATGTATCTGGATAGAAGAGGGTGTCCCGGCTAATTGGAGCGAATCGATTATAGTGGTAATATACAAGAAGGGCAGTCGCACAGACTGTTCTAACCACAGGGGTATTAGCCTAACGCCAACTGTGACGAAATTATTGGCCTCGATTCTCGTTCGTCGCCTCACTGCGGAACGGGAATCTCGGATTAGGGAAGAGCAGGCTGGTTTCCGCCCAGGGCGTGGCTGTATAGACCATATATTCACTTTGCGGCAGGTGCTAGAGCAGCGCCACGCATACCGCAGACCGACGATTGCTGTGTTACTCGATTTCAAGAGTGCGTTCGATTCAGTCGATCGATGCGATCAGTTCAAAATACTTGCGCGGAAAGGTGTTCCCACGAAATATGTGAACATCCTTCGTGCTCTATACTCGAACACTACAGGCCGCGTCAGGGTCTACGGTGTACTATCGGATAACTTTGCGACCACAAGTGGCGTTCGTCAGGGTTGTCCGATTTTCCCATTTTTGTTCCATTTCGTCGTGAATTCTATCATGGAGTGTTCTCTTGCGGAATCTCATGATGTAGGCGTTGAAGTGCTGCCTGGTGAAACGGTTAGTTGATCTAGATTATGCGGACGATATCGTCTTGCTTTTCGACGAGGTTGGGGCGGCCCAATCAACCCAGAATAGCCTGTCCAGAGTAGTCCCATTATTTGGTATGCACTTCGCACCTTCAAAGTGTTGCTGCATGACCACCAGCCACTTGATGACCCCTTGACGCTTGCTAACGAGGACCTCGATGTAGTTCATCATTTCACTTATCTTGGCAGTTGCGTCAGCACTGATGGGCGCATAGAAACTGACGTCAGCTCGCGCATTGCAAAAGTCAGAGCTACCTTATTGAACCTGCGACATCTTTGGCGACAGAAGGGAGTTTCCCTCCGTCTGGAAGACCGTGTATACAAGGCCACAGTGAGGGCCGTTCTACTGTATGGTAGTGAGACTTGGCCCCTTCGGTCTGAAGAGCTGAGGCGCGTTCAGGTCTTTGATCATCGTTGTCTGCGAAGCATTGCTGGTGTCGGATGGCACCAGCGTGTCCGCAACGATGATGTGCGTAGACGAGTGCTAGGTAATGATAGTCATGCTAGCTCCCTAGAACTACAGATAGCACTGAATAAGTTGCGTTGGCTCGGGCACGTGCTACGTATGCCTGGTCACCGCTTACCTAGGAGGGTCTTGTTTAGTCTGCCAGGTGTAGGGTGGCACAAGGCTCGAGGTGGACAGAAGTTGACTTGGCAGCGGGAAATGAAGTCACTGACGACTAAACTGGGTGCCGTTGGTCCGTCTCGCCTTCCGGGCTGGAGTCCACGTGACTCGCCTTGTGTTTGGCCCGAGACTTTAGAGGACATGGCTCGCAACCGAGACCAGTGGCTCGTCTGCTGCCGTTTTCTAATCGGTTTGTCTGTTTAAAGTGTGTTTGGTGCTGAGTTATCTGCGGGGTAATGGCTGATTATGACGCGTGGTAGTGAAAGCCACAAGTAAGCTGTCTCGTCGATGCCGCCTTATCTTTGCACGATAGCCAACTGTTTGTAATGGTATGTTGTCTTCACAAGATGTAGGCGCCTTGATCCTGAATGTTTGCTTAGGGCATTAATGTTTTCAGGTAAGTCCCCCTCCTCTCTCTCTTATTCTTTATTTCATAGTTCCTCATGGTTGTATGGCAGCGAAGCATCAGTTCAAATGGCTGATGTACTGCTGTTGGTGATGATGATGATGACGCCGTTATGCGAGTTGAGTAATCGCTCACTGGATGCATTTGAAGCTCACTGGTCTCATATTCACCATTCTGCTTGCAGCAGGCAAATCCTCATGTAGTGATGGGCTATGACTATTCTATCCTGCAATTTAAACCTCTTTTTGCATTTGAGTATCAGGCTATGATAATGTTAGTGTATACTTGCTCGTTTTTCCCCGCTGCACTCATTCTTCTCCACTTTCACTTACGTTTCTAGATACCCAAGGACCACCACCAAAGAAAAGGGGGCGGCCGAAAGGCTCCAAAAATGGAATGCGCAAAAAGCCCATCGATCCGTCACAACCTTGGCTTGAGGGAAATGAATCGGACGATGTTGACGCTGGACTCGAAGGTGAATTAGACGATGACGAGTACTTTCGCAGACTAGAAGAGGAGAAGCTACGTGAGGATGAAGAGGAAGCCCTTCGAAAAAAACGAGTGCGTTCTGCGGTTTTCTCATGCGCACTCGTTATAACTGCATCTTTCGATATCTGATCAGTGTGACAGTCATTGATCAGGCGACGGTCTACGACGTTGCGATCCCGATAGTTTTGCCATATCGTTATCACAACTTTTAAGCGGATAGGTGGATGACTGTCGGAAGCAGCGGATTACGGTGCTTTTGTTCATCACCACCAACTACGTCAGCCTTCCGACCTTTCGCGTTATTTATTGGCGGAGAATTTTATTGGACCATATTTACTGTTCTGGCCGTTTCAGAGCGTTTCTTTGCTGTATTGGTTACACCAAGAACCAGGTTATCGTGTCACCTTGATGATTATGCTTCACAAATCTGCATTACACCTATACTGTATTTGCAACGGACTATCCACACATCCCCACTTGGAAGCGACACGGACATTATGCGTTCTCTGCTATATGAATAGTTAGAAACTAATTTCCACATGCACCTACCTACGATTTGGCCACCGATGAATATCTAGCTGTTTGTTTTATCAAATTCTTTGCGTTCTACTTAGAGAAGGCCTTTCGACGGGAAATATATGCCCATTTATTTATTGTCGCTTAATGCTGTTCGGTATTTTTACCTTTCCTGTGTTTTTCTTGTATTGTAGGCTGCACAAGCCCGTTTAGCTTTACGGAAAAAGTCCACTGGCAGCACCCGCAATAGGTCATCTACTCGGCGCCCCGGACGAAGTAGTTCTAGTGTTAATTATGCCGCGATGGCAGGAATCACGGAAACAAGTGATAGTGATGGTCTTAGTGAGTATGGTGAGGGCACTGTTTCCTCCATCGGTGGTTCACGAGTGGGGCCAGATGATATAGAAAGCACTCGTGAACTTTATCCTCATGATCAAGAAGAGGAACCGGACGAACTTTCATATGAACCAGGTTTTACTCGTGAGTTATCGCCTACTGAGTCTCTTCCTGGTTCAAGACATCCTTCTGAAGAAAGGGACTTTGTTGGTACGGAAGGTGATGAAACCTTCAGACTAGATCCCTCCAGATCCACATCTGATCCGATGATCTCCATGACTCCGACCGATCCTTTTACAATTGCAATGTTAAATGTCGACCCAATTCAGCTGTTGTACCAATCACCGTGTCTTTCACTTCCGCCGTCGGCCACCGATCTGGTGTGCCCCAGTCGCCTTCTTTTAGACGCATTTTCAGTGTACGAAATTCTAATTCGCTATGGCCGCCTCCTTCGGCTGTCTCCCTTCAGGATTGAAGATTTTCTGGCTGCCCTTGTGGCTAACGAAAATTCCACTCTGCTGTCAGAAATCCACATCGCTTTGCTGAAGTCAATTATCCGTGAAGACGACGCAGCTGGGACTCTGATGTATTCGGCAGATTGCAAAGACTCCGTTAGCATTACTCTTTACTCAATTGATCGTTTTACATGGCCCTACTTGCTGGCTGCTTATCTGAACAGCATTAAATCCTCGGAAGCAAACGCGCAGGTCGCCGCATCCGGACTAGGCGCATTAAGCATGGCTGCTGCGTATGCTGCCGGAGCGGCTGGATGTGGGCCGACGGGTGGTGGCGGGGCTGACACGGTTCTGACTGCGGCGCTTTTCCCTTCGGATTCGATTCCACTGGATCCGGCTTATCCACTCGTGTCAGTTGACAGACGACTGGCTGTGCTCAGCGGTCTGACCAACCTACTGCTTGCCACAGGCCCAGTGCGTGGCGATGTGTTACGCGATGGATTCCTGCCCCATGAAGATCACTGCCGGTTTTGTCATCTGTGAGTGATGTACCCGTGCGCTTTTGTATTCACGAAAGTTTTATTTTCTGCCCATTTTTAGACGTATCACTATCTTATACCATGCACTTCGCCATTCATTTTCTCTTGATGATCAATCGTACTGACACATCGTTCGTCCCCGGATGCAGTTCAAAGTTAGCTAACACGCGAAGCATATTTTGGTGATTCGGATGCATTAATATGATAATATACCAGTCTATGCCTGCGCTCATTCGAGTCCATTTTATGGTTGTACTGCAGTTAACGGGGACATGGTGAGGTCTTCACATCCACAGTACTACTGTTTTAGTGCCACCGATCGACTTATATTATTTTACCTTGCCCTCTGCGCGGTAGTAATGTGCAAGTCAGTGGATAGTGAGCGGCGCTATATTCTTATTCACGACGGTCGTTGCCGTCTCCCGTAGCTCCGCGGCCTTAGTCACAGACAGGCAACAGTCTAGTTACGGGTTCGAGCCCTACAAGAGTCAGATAGAATTTGCACTACTGACGATTCCTGTAAGGATGAACCGGCCGTACAGTGCTTTTCCGGGCGTGTGACGGCTGAGTACGTCTAGATGTGATGTATTTTTACTTATATCACTTTCACTGTTCCATGTTTTTCACTTAGCGGATAGTTTCGATCTGAGCCTTTTAATCTTTTAAATGGACCTCCTGTTGTTCCTTACTTCGAAATTGGTCAGCTGCGGCCAACAATCCAGTGTCGTATTTTTTGGAGTACCCACATCATGTTTGAACTGGAACACAATCTCGGCTTGGACCGCAATTTACTCTGGAATAAACCTTGGTTAGTTGCACACAGTGGATGCGCAGGAAACTCGGCAACAAATTCGCAACCGTTATAAACGCTTTCCCGCAGGGCACGTTGATCCAGTGTTGCGTTCGCTTGTCGAAGTCCCTACGCCCCTAGCTAGAGTCCAAACCTTTTGCTCTGTTGTATTCCTTTCACAATGCATTCTCGTGTTATCGCGGCTGTGCTGCTCATATCGCTGTGGTCCGATTGCTCCGCCTCACACTGTCTAACGTCGCTACCCACTATGCATTTCGCCTGCTCGACTAGCGTCATCAGGCTACTGCCATGCATCGAAGTAGTTTCGGATTTGCGTATATTTCACTCTCTCCACGTATTGTTCATGTTTTTCCATGCAGAAGCGGGGACTTATTGTGTTGTGATGGTTGCACTGCGGTGTATCACCTGCGTTGTCTTCAACCACCCCTCTCTGTTGCACCTGCGAGTAATTGGCTTTGCCCGGCTTGCGTAAAAGATCAGGTAAGAACTGTCTGCCACCGGGGCACATTTTCCCCAGTCATCTCTTTTGTGTACACCGACTTTTCTGTGTTGCCTTTTTCAAATGGAATCCGCGCTGGTCATTTCTCATCGACCTTGATGACAACTGCTCCACTCATGCTCACTTGACTGCTTTTACTTACTGTCTAACTGCTACATACCATCACGTGATTGATCCACATGTGTATTCTTGGGTAGGTAAATTAAAAACCTTTCAATATGTATCTTCAATTAGCCTTTGTGTGCACTGAGTTGTTGTTCATTTATCACTTCGAAAGATGGTTTGTTAGTTCCCCATCTTTGTTGCTTATTTCGCACTTACATTGCACCCTCATTAGGATATCCTCTGAGGGGTCACATTGCGGAAGCAATCACAACTTTTCTCTCTATCCGGAGAGTCCGAATGTGAACAGAACTAGTCGTGTCCGGAATGGGCATCATTGAAAATTGACAGAAATCAGTTCAGGGTTAAGAATTCTTTTCTGGAAACTCTCGCCAGACCGACATAGAGCGGATTATGTGTGGAAAGCGTTAATCCCTGCTCGGATTGATTTCTAAGCTGTTTGAACGATCAAGATCGCTAATCTGATACGCAGATAGCGATAGTAAGCCAAGTAAACTAATGGAATATTAATACACAAACCTCAGTAGCTAAGGTAGCTAAGTAACCATGTCTGTTGATCACGGTACTATTATCCACCGTATGAATCGTTTTTGTACACATACACAAATGTTAAATGTAGTTAGCCTCGGCACCATGTGAGGCCGCAATTGTATACAAAAACGATTCATACGGTTGGTGCTACAACCGTGGTCAATAGACACTGGTTGTTACCCTAACTATCTACTTCGGACTGCTGAGGTTTCTATATTAATGTTCCCTTGGTTTAATTGGCTTATCATCCCTAACCCTGTCTTAAGTTGCCGATTTTGTCTGTTCCAACACCTTAGAAGTCAATATCCAACCCGATTTGATACTTTCCGCGTATAATCAATGCTGTGTGAACGTTTGGGTCAGATTTTTGCTTATGTTTTCTGTCATTGCAATGGGAATATTTGCTTTTCTGTAGACCAGCATTGCCCGTGATTCATTGAATCACACTGAAAATACCATTCTTGTTTTCCGTCGGATTTATAATCACTGCGCTAGATAAAGATGTCCTATTTCGTATATGTCATGTTCTATCTTGGCATTTTTGTCGTTATCCATTACTTCACCATTCTTCCGTGTCCACTCTGTTCTGCCACTGTATCACATCAGATGCAGCTTTATGGTAGAGTTTCACACATGCTCATACAGTGGTTTTATTCGCTTTCCGTTCATTTCCTACGCATCCCCTTCATCGCAGACTGTTGGAGTGACAGACTGTCAATCGGAAGCGGAGCGCGCAGGCAAAGTGCATCGGAGGGAGCCCCTTGGAACTGACCGAGCTGGACGAGTGTATTGGTACATCGGACGCCGATTGGTTGTGTAAGTTTTTAAATCTTAGTGTGGCGTTGGACTGGTACGGCTCATTTTGGCGCCTTCGCAGAAATCCGATCGACAGTTCCACCATCCACCACTTGCTAGTTAACATGCTCTATGCTGTCAGTTTGCCACATTTCATTGTATATTTGTTTTTACTATGTTACGCCCATAGGTGTTTTATTTTGCTGGCAGTTACAGGATTCACTCCGTTAGTTTTCCCTATTGTTTCACCTGCCACTCTATGACAAAAGCAGGTGCCATTGATTAGTAAATCAACAGTACCCAATCCCTATCCCTATAGCTACCACCTCGCATTCCCTGGCTATGATTCAGCTATCCATCGCGATACCTCTGGACTACATCATGATGCGTTGATTTGCGTGTCTCTACGACCCATTGAGCTGTGCTGGGTGGTGCTTCTTGCATCTTCCGAGTCACTCATACTAGATTGGTCGATGGTTAAGGGCCAAAAATCTTACTCTTCTTGTCCTCCAAATTAAGATTTGGTGTGAAGATATGGCTTTTTATTCCTTAAACCAGACTTCATATAGCCTACTGCCAAACTCCCGTGGTATTGTGATCACATTTTTGCGCTTTTGAACCATTATCGTTCTCGTGTTTAGGCTTGGGCAACCTGACAGTATTTTACCCACGCAGTACAATGACGTCAACACAACTTTTCTAGTCTGTGGCCGCCGCAGAGGATACTCAACGGCTCTAGCTGCTGCATCGAGCACGCCGCCTAGGAGTGAGAATGCTATTGCTCAAGCCTTCCCAATTTCTTACTCCTGTCTTACCCTACATCCTCGTCACCCGATTCCAACTTCACTTCCCCCTGTTTTCAACGCCTCATCTTGTTTCTATACTCGCCGGCCCGTAGCCTAGTGGTAACGAGCTTGTCTCGTAATCTTGCGGCGCGGGTTCGAGCCTGCGTGGCGGCAGGGCGACCCTCGCAGTATCCTTAGCCCGCGTGCGACCGGTGCTGCTTGCGCGGCAGCGAAGCGTCGCTACTGCGTACTGGCGTACTGCTGATGTCTTTCTATACTCGCCTGTCTTCTAGTTTCAACTCACATGCAGTCGCGAAACGTCTCACTTATCCTCGCGACAAGTTCATATCAAAACAAGCGGACTACCTCAGTTCATCTGATTATATTTGGAACCCTCGATCTCGCTAGGACTGGTATACCTGAACGTACGCACCTTACTTCAAATCGGTCAACAAGCGCCATTTGCCCCATCATTAGAGACCATATCGTTGGATATCACTGCTTACCGAAAGCCCACCTGCAAGATTCGGGCTCTGTGCCCACGACGACCGCCTGTATGTGACACTAGCAGCACTTCCTCATCTGGCGATGGTGCAGCTTCAAATGCCGGTCAAGCTGGTGTGGTCATTACTTTGGGCACTGAGGCTGAAGCTGTTCTGGTCAGCTGGATTCCAATCAGTAGCCGGATTTGCGCGGGGAAACTCGGTGCCTGTTTACCATAGCTGTCTTCATCCCTAAAATTGCATCGATGACTCTGAAAGATGACTTCTGTAGCCACGTGAACGCGCTGTTCCGTTGCAGAGGAAGTACGGGTAGTGTCGTGTAGCTGATCTGGACATTCAAGTTAGCAAATTATCCACTGATGAGCTACATCTGTGCCGCCAACACAATGTAGGCTCCCGTAATGATAACATTGAGCAACTGCTGCATTTTTGTGAAGACGTTGGTTTATTTCTTGCTAGCACTAACTTCCGGCATACTACCTGCTGAAGAGTGACATGGCGCCCTACAGCCTGGGACCAGTCATGGTCACAAATCGGTCACATCGCGATCAGTTACCTTTGGAGGGGCTGTGTCCAAACTGCCGGTCGATTTTGCGCACCGGCGTCAACTCCAACTATGCTCTTGTATATGCCGATTTCCGAGTTCGCTTCGGCAAACGCCTACGACGACGTTTTGAGCGCATAGACACCAGCAACTGACGAAGCCAGGTGTTCTGAATGTATATCAAATTACGCTCGCACGCGGCTTGACTAAGTGCTTACTGAACACAGTTGAGGGTTATTGGTCGCATACATGCCGGGCAGTACTAACAGCAGACATGTTTTAATGTGGCAACTCAAATTACCAGAATGGACATTGGGTCTTTACACTATCTATTGAACTCCCGGACGCTCGCCGACACATTCTTGTTGGAAGCGAGCACGATGAGACTCACAAAGAACTCACGGTAAAGCTGTGTGCCAGCCTAAAGAGCGACTGTAATGCTTGCTGGTCTCATCGGGCGTCAGAGATGGCAATGGCTGTTTCCGTTGGTAACCATCGGAGGTTATTTCGTCTGATACAGGAACGCACAAGAGGAGACCTACTATTAGCTAGACTGTGGCTGGCCACAGTGACAGACAAATCCGAAACCGGATGCTGCCAACCATGCCACACGAACAAGTAACCAACACTCAACTTGTCAAAACGCTTGGAGCGTTGGGCCGAACACTTTGAAAAGCAGTCTAATCTGTCGAAGTTCCCTGCTTCCTACTCAACCGGTGATCGCGATTCACCATGACCCTCCCCTTGATCGACCACGCGCAAAAGTGAGGCGTGGGATCGGGCTTAAAATTAAATAAAGCTGCAGTTGCGGATAGACTTCATTCAGTTTACTTCATATTCGGGGACAACTCCTGTGATCGATTTGCACAATTTACTATCGAACCTATGGAACCATGAGACTGTCCCCGTAGCCTGCAGCTGTTCTGTTATAGTCCCAATTTTCAATGGGGACTCACGTTCGGAATGCGGCAACCGTGGAAGGTCAGTTTGATCTCGGTTGTTCATAAGTTTCTTGCTTCCGTCGTTCTCCATACTGGCTAGCGCTCGTGAAAGCTAGATTCGTGGGGAGCAGACCAGTTTTCCTTGAAGTGGAGGCTATATTGACCACATCTTCACATTACATATTGGTACGCCGTCATATTTATTGGTGACCATCCTTAGTTGCGTTCCTCGACATTAAGGGTGCTTACCATTCAGTGGATCGATGTGACCCTTTGAACTATTTGACATAAGGTGTGTGAGCGCTGTATATGCGTAGTTCGGTGGGAGCGAGGGCTTGTTGCACTGTCGCCGCTTTTTAATATCTCCAGCGGTGTGAGACAAGAATGTCCGCTGTCACCTTTCCTCTTCAACTTCGTAATCGACGGACACTACATTCACCGGATTAAACTTGGAATTTGTGGAATTACTTCCAGTGGCTCAACTTCTTGTTTTGGAGTACGCTGCCATTGCCCTGATCTTTGTGAGCTCATAAACGTGTCAAGTAGTACTGGACAATCTAGCACAGGCCGTCGGCCGTCTCATTTTACACTTTGCACCCTCGAAACGCCAAGTTCTCCTAGTTTGCCAGTGACACACTCCTACACTGACACAGCGTTGATCAGTTAGAAGTCCAGAAATTTAACTATCTAAGCAGCCATATTGGCACCTGTGGAGTAAAAATTGAGGTAAGCAACTGTATAGCAAAAGCTGGACTTGCTTTTGCCAGTATCCACCACCTGTGGCGCCGGTTCGACCACTGTTGCCCTGAAGGGTAGAGTTTGCAGCGCAGTCTCACCATCATACACGTCAGCCGAGGGTAGGAAACGCACCTTAGCTAATGTGCCGCAATACAACAAGAGATAAAACATTACAGACTTCAAAAGCTAAAGGTAACATAATGCTAAAATTGCATTATGCTTTGGGTTTAGATTGTTGTTGGAGGGGGAAGCTAAAGGTAAGGGGAAGGACAAAGAGACTCATAACACAGACGCCATTGAAATCGGCTCCTGGCTACGCACCTAGTGTATCCAATCGACTGTCAATAGCGCTCGCCGGATGGCTTTTTTCACTCTATTTGATAGGCCAGTTTGCATTGTTCAGTACTTTGTGCAGAGTAGATTTCTCGTGTCTATTTTTGTCAACTTCGGTTTATTTTGCAATTTTGGATTTGGTTATTATATATTAGTTTCGTGTCCGTATATTTTACTCTGGTACTTTTGCCGTGTATTTATCGTTCACTTTATCATTTTTACCGTCACATCTGCTAAGCTGTCATTAATGTCAAAGTTGACTTCCTGTGGCACTTGTTGCAAAATAACTGGGCATAGAGCCAATGCTCTTACATGCTTCATGTGTGGTGTGAATTTCTACATGTAGTGTATTAGTGTGCCTTTAGATCATTTTAAGCTACTGTGAAAAATCCCGCATGACTGTTGAAATATTGTACAAGTAGTGTCAAGCCACTGTGCAGTCACAAATAGCCGAGAAGCCTCGCGAGCCTGCAAGACGGGCGAAACGTTCCATAGGGAGGAGCTCCGTGGGTTTGTCCAAGCAAGTGGAAACCGTCACCTCTATATTGGAACGAGCCCACCTACCCAACGGCTGCAAGCTCTCCAGCTAGATGTCCACCCGTTGCTGCATGCTCAGCTGGCGTGCTTGTGTTGCGTCATACGGACACTAACATACAGGTGTGCGATAGCGCAGGCGTTGAAGGCCAATGGAGAATGCAGCGAAGCAAAAAGGCGAACACAGCTGTCAGCAATCAACGGCGTTGTAAACTTATGATATTTCACGCGCCTGAGTCGACAGATGCTCGTTATGACCACGACGCGCATTTTCTGCAGAGCCTGATTGATAGGCTTCTCGACATGAATGAATAGGGGTTGCAGGTGAAGCAAATCACCCATCTTTGAAAGAGAGAAGAGGGGAAATCCCGGCCTCTGTGAGTCACGTTTGTTGATGCAACGAGTCCGAGGCTGATACTATCCCGCCTCGGTAGGCTAAGAGGTCTAAAGATTCATATTCGTCCCGACTCGGATCCGTCCGCTATAGTGGAGTTGAAGCGGCGGACTGATACTGGAGAAAGCAATATCCACGTAAATTTTCGGGTAGTACCCCGGGTCCTTCGAACCCGGATCAACAGATGGATGACGCTTCATGCGTGTCTGCCGGTTCCTACCGCGGCCTGCGCGTAGCCTTCACAAATGTTTGTAGTGTAACGAACAAACGTGACGATGTATTTCACTTCGTTGCCAAATGTCGTCCAGGCGTACTAGGATTGACTGAAACCTGGTTAAATCCTGAGGTCACTACCCAGGAGGTCCAGATCAATGGATACTCCTGCTTCCGGTGCGATAGAGTATCAAAAGATCGAGGCTGCGTGCTGTTATACATTCGGTCATCGCTGTGCGGGAGACTCGTACACACCCACCTTAGCGAAGATGGCTTGTGCGAGCAGTTATGGTGCTCGATCCTTCTGAGACAGAGTGAACTGTGGATGCTGCTTATCGCAGCTTACGAAGTAGGTGCCTGGATTGGTTTCCGCATGCCAGAAACTACATGAGTCGGCCCCGCTTTTTGCTTATGGGTGATTTTAACTCCCCTCGAATACGGTGCTATGAGGTTCTACTTCTTCCCGGACACTTTGAAGTCGAGGCGCAGTTTGCAGAGATTGTATTTGAAACTGGGGCAGCACAACATGTCTGCCACAACCGACGCGCGTTACACCGTATTCCGCTCCATCGTACATGGATCTACTACTAATGAGTTACAAGCAACGTGTAAGTGAAATTCAGGTCCTGGAGCCTCCTGCAACTAGTGACAACTCGATGGTGTTAGCCATCCTAGAGCTGCCGTTGCCCTACTCGCGTCTGCCGGAGGCGTTCTACAATTATCGGAAGACCGACTTCACTGGTCTAAATCGAGCCGCCAATGAATTAGACTGGTCGCTGCCGCAGGATTCATCTGTTGAAACCTGTTGGTCTGTTATGAAAGCGGGTGTGCAATCGTTGTGCGCTCGTTTCGTACCCCTCAACTATCGGAAAGCTGGACCAGTGTAACCACGTTGGTTCGACAGAGAGTATAGTCAATTGGCTCGACGGTGACGCTAATTTTAGAATAAATTCCTCCTCTCTGGCTCTGCCGACGATTATGAGGCGTACAAAAGTCAACGGAATCCATGCAACAGCGCAAAAGCGTGGGCATTTCGAAAAGGAGCTTGAAACCTCAGCGAAGCCGACCCCCAAGAAGATTTTTGCTTACGTGAAGGAGCGCCTGAGGCCCGCAAGTGAGGTAGCTGTGTTAGATGGCACTGACTGACACTCTCTGACCTCCAGCACTGAACGTGCATCCGCATTGGCGGAGCTCTTCGCTTCCGTACATACAAGTGGGCCTGCGCCTATGCCGTGCTCGACGTGTGCAGTCCCTACTGAAATCGAGGGCATTGATTACGGTGTAGAAGATGTCCGCAGTCTACTCGCCAGTCTTGATGGCACAAAACCTGCCGGACCCGATGGACTTCACCCGCTAATTTTGAAGCCCTTATCGGCCATCATCTCGCCTGCCGTGACGGATCTGTTCAACAGATCGTTGTCCGAGGGTGCATTGCCAAAGGACTGGAAATGCTTAGTATTGAAGCCGATTCCAAAAGGTGGTGACCCCCGCAATATAGACAATTACCGACCGATTTGTCTCACCTCTGTTTTGGCGAAGATGCTCGAGATGATTGTGTAAAAGGGTTTTCTCCAGCTGCTGGAGTCGAAAGATCTAACGCCGGCACAGCATTGTTTCATGAAGGGCCGCCCGTGCATCACCAACCTGCTGTTGACGCGGCACGAATGATTGCGAGCGTTGAATCGGGGGAAGTCAATGGATGTTATCTACCTTGATTTCACTAAAGCTCCACAAGCTGAATATGTGTGGTGTTGGTGGCGCATTGCACCAGTGGATCAGTGACTTCCTCGTTGGGAGAAGATGGCGGGTTCAGGTGGATGACCACCTAACGGAATGGTACTCGTCCACTAGTGGCATACCCCAAGGCACAGTACTGATGCCCATTTTACTCCTGATCCACATACACAAAGTACCTCTGCATCTTCGGTCGCCCTGCGTATTATTTGCGGATGACCTGAAGATTTGGAGGGTTATTGATTCTCCCGGCGACTGTGAAGTCCTTCAGCAGGACCTCGAGCGCCTATCCCGGTGGTCTGCAGAAGTTGACCTGCCGATCAACACGGCCAATTCCTCGTTTTTGAGCCTAGGGAGGGGTAGTAATGGGCGTGCGTACACCCTGACCGGCCGCCCGCTGCATCCCGTCAATTCCGTAAGGGATCTGGTGTACTCTCACGCTGTGCTCTGAAGTCCTTCGACAACACGAACAGACTGTTCGCAAACAGACTACGCCTGCTTTGGGCACTTAGACGCAGCTTCTGCACTTCATCTGAAGAGCTTGCCACCCTTCTATTCTCTTCCATAATAAAACCGGTGCTTAATTACGGCGCACCCGCCTATTGTCCGATCACAATAGGTGAGGTGCAGAGACTGGACCGGGTCCAGCATGTAGCTACCCAGCTCATCTCCAGGTTACGGGGTATGTCGTACGAGGACCGATGTGGGAGACTACAGCTGTATATCCTGTCATATCGTCGGCTTCGAGTTGATCTCATTATGACTCCCCGGATACTGCACCTGGGCCACTTCCCTATGTTGAAACCGCTGCTGCATGTTCGCTCACCAAGCCGCACACGCGAACACCGGTACAAACTAGTGGTACCGGATTTAAAGCACTTCGCTCACCCTCCATGCTTCGAGCGTCGAGTGGTGAAATATTGGAACAAATTGCCGGAGACGCTAGTCGAGGCGAAATCGGTGTCGGAATTTAAAAGATTCCTTGACGCCCACTATGCAGACTACAGGGATAGGGAGCGTATCACACCCGGATAAGATGTAATGCAGCTGCAGTATGCTACCACCTCGCAGGAATCAGAGACGTGCTTCCGCGCATGTGCCTGATTCACCTACGATAGAGCAACACAGATTTCTGTCTTCTTGCTCTCTATTTTTTTAATATTCTGTATTCAGTGTTCATCGTCCCAGCACCTCCGTCGGGAAACACCGATCGACGTCAAGTTCGAAATGATTGAGTTCGTTCCTTCTGACCACGTCATCGTTTGGCCTCCCCTCCACTTCTTTCATCCAGACCCCGGGCAGCGCAGCCATGTGTTCAACCCACATGTACCGTTGCGAAACCGCGCCCATCAGATCGACAGACACAAAGTGGCTAGTTACGTTTGACTGTCGCTTCCATCGCACTTTATGTCATATCTGGTAGCAACATCTCGTGATCAGTGAGCGTATTCAATGTCTCATATTTGGTTCACTAAGAGTGACGGAACCCTTCTGCACCGTTATGTCATGCGCCATGGTCCGATGGCTGGGCTATGTGTCGCGCATCCAAGCACATCGAATTCCGCAGCCTGCGCTGTTTGTGCAACGGGGGCTTGCATGGAAAAAGAGGAGGTGAAGCCAACTGATGACTTGGTGAGAATAAATGAACAATTTTGATTCGAACTTGGCTTCAGTTATTGTTTTCCGGCTGCCGACCTGGGGTCCGGAGGAGGATGAAAATATTTGGTTGTATGCGCTTGTTCACATGATGAAAATTCGCACTCAATGGAGTTTGTGTTATTTTTTTGTCCCTCACCCTCCCACTTAGCTTCCCCTCGATCGGCGACCTCGCGCTCAATGAATAGTATGAAACTAAACACTCTCTTTTTTCTTCTTGTATTCCGGTCCGGTCCGGTAGTTCGCTTTTTCAAATGTCTTCTCCGTTTGTATTGCAGTACGATAACTGAAACGTGTGTCTTATCTTTAGTTAACCTATAGTGTGGATGATGCCTAAATCGATTTGCTGCTCCTCCTCCCCCCCTTATTCATGAGCTGATCGAATAGTTGGCAGCATGCATTTCCAGATTTACTTACCTGACACTATGCATGGGCGGTCGTCGTTCGGTATTTCGTTGGGGCTTTCTTCGTGCTCATTTTCACTGATCTCCGAGATTTATCCCCGAAACTTCTTAGTCTTTATCTTTGCCTGAAATTACTACAAGAGGTTGGGCACCTGACGTTCTCCACAAGTCCCATCTCCATCTCGCCACTGTGATTAGCCATTGTACTCGTCTTGGTAGGTAAACGCACTTCGAACTACTCATTTGTGTTTAGACAGGTTACTACTAAACTCTAACTGCTTCATTATGTTGCCTCACTTTATCCTTCTGCAATATCCATCGTACTGTTCCCATCTCTGTTGATGAATTTTAAAGAAGTGTTCCTTCTTCTCATATGCTGCCCATACTTTTGCGAGGTCTTGGTTGCATCCTTTTGTGTCGCTCACTACCTTTCCTCACCTTTCAGTGAACCTGTGTGTTATGCTCAGAAAGAGCCCCATCTTCTCAATTTGTCTGATGGAAAATTTGACCCTAGTTGGCCTGAAAAACACTTCGCACGTCTTCTCCAAACCGACGAGCTAGAACCGCTTCCTCAGTGGACCGGTGATGGCGACGCCGATCACCAACCCGATGATGCTTCGCCAACTCACTCCACCTCCTTGCTTGACTATAACGGTGAACCCCCTGTCTACTACTATAGCTCATTTGAGCAGGTCACAGAACTGCGCCATCGCTTGTGCCCGCGATGGGAACCGTGGCTATGCCAACGGCTAGACACATTGCTTCCACGAATGATGTCCGAAATGAGCCATACCCAGCTTCTGACGGCGAAAGGTCTCGAGTTGTTTTGTCAAATCGAACCGAATTGTAATGTAATCAGTTCGTCGAACCCCTCTTTAAGTCACAATCAGCGAAATGTGTTTTCTCTGTTGGAACTTGAGACCGGTGAGTTCCTTCCTCTCTTATCCTGGCCTATTCTCGGCATTATTACTTCTTGCGTCTGAAGCAGATCATATGAGTATCTTCGAGTTCTTTTATTCACTGCTTACCGTGCTATCGGTGTATATGACGATTTATACCGATTGTGTGCGACGCTCCGCTTTTTCTTGACCATCTTCGGTCACATTTTGCCACTCTCATGCAAATGTGTGGGGACTATATACTCACTCTCCATCCCTTCAGCTGCCTCGTGGGATATGCCGTTGAATCAAACGATCCAAACTGGAGCCCCAACAAAACACGCACTCCATAGCCTTGTATGTCGATTCGACGAGCCGAACATCGCCTTTCTATTGGATTGGACAACAGACTACTCTGTCAGCACTAGGCTAATAGACGGTGCATAGACCGTCCCACCGTTGAACGCAAGCCGTTGCTTTCTGTTTCTGTATCACTCAGGTCGGGCTTACAAACCATGGCTGGTTATCTTCCATTTTTAAGTCAAGAGAAAAAAAGACCTCTCGACCATCTGAAACCGGTTATGGCTCACGCGAATCGTTCTCCATGCGTTTTGAGAGTCGCCTGTCTTACTCCGATTGGATCACATATGTGCGCCGCGTTCGCATTTCGCCTTGTCATGGTTTTTCCTATTGCCATGGTGTCGTTAGTTAGTTTATCCTCGGTGCTTGGGATTTAATAGATGGGTTAAAATAGATAGGTATGTTGCCTTTTGCTCACTAATTGCATTTTTGCTCAGCAACCTGGTTTTTTCTTTGTTCCGTACTTTTACCCAGGATCCGAAAAACGGTGATTCGTATGAAGATGTGTGATCACATTTTTCTTTCTTTGCCAATTATTTTTGGGTCTTTTGTATTTTTGTGGATGCGTCGATGTCAGCTTATTCTTCCTCCTTTAATTACTCTTTTAGCTAGAAGCAAATCGAGAATGGCTTCTGGCTCAAATGCTACTGACCGCAGCATCTCACAGTGTCCAGTGAGTCTCCCTTAACATTCTTGGCACAATACTTATACTTTTTAGCCGGTTATTGGATTATAAACATATCATTTTTTCTCTCCCATCTAAACAGGTCGTTTGCGCCTTTGAAGCTGTCAGCAAAGGACCATGGTATTCCGGTAACTTTCCAGCCGGCATTCCTGTGACGGACAACGACGATGAATCCGACTGCGGAGTCTTGGTTGCACCCGATGAAGCTTCTTGTCTAGTACGGAATCAGGACGCTGTTGTTACTCGCGTACCAAGGTCGGAAGATGTAGGTGCAGATAACTACTCTCCTTCATTCTCTGGAAGATTTGCATGCACGATTGTTAAGGTTAAACCGCTTGGTGATCAATAGCTAAAAATGGATAAGAAAGAAATATGTCGTGTGAAAAATAACGTGTCGTTTTCTGTATGTGACCAGTGTGCCTGTGCCATTTCGGCTGTGACAGGCAAATCCGAAACCGGATGCCCCCAACTATATAAACTAACTTAAAATAGATACTTTTAAGCTGGATACATTTCGTCTCACTTTGCTTGGTTTGTTCTGCCTACCTGAATAATCTTCTATTAACTTGCGCACGTTGCTTTTGCTACTTGTGGTTATCGTTAACTTTATTGCGTTTGTAGCATTTTTTGTGTAACTTGTGGACATTTTATACTTATCACGGATTCGTTGCTAACCAACTTACTTCATAAGCTAAGTTAGGGTATAGATATGTCTGCATAGGCGTACTCTTTAACAGATATATTTTATTTGATAATGTCGTTTCAAGTGATTGGCCGTTGTTTGACATCACCGGTGTGGCTGCGCTTGAGATGCATGTTGACAAGGTGCCTATCTGTCTATTACCCCCTAACTCATCCATACTGGCTCTAGGAGATATTTGGTCGTTGCTGGAGGAGACGGGGTGCACGGTCCTTGTGGCCCTTGTGGTATACACTGGAGATGCGGTGTGTGGTTTGAGCTGTGAGTGGTGCAGCACAAATCGCCCATGATCCCTCTGTAGGCGCAGGCGTCCTTTGGCTGGCCAGAGTGACAGGCAACTCGGAAACCGGATGCCGCCAACCATGTGTAGCCGTATTTATGGGTTTTGTAAATGCTTTCCTGCAAAAGGGATGCTTGATGTTTGTGGTCTTGAAGCCGTTGTCTGGATAAGGAAGAGGGTGACTAGTTGATGGCGAGTCACAACCGCCGCCTCACAGTGTTGTTAAACAGACATCTGTGGCTTTTTATAGGGAGAACGCTTGCCAGGCGAAAATCCACCCCGTCCCAGAACACTGCCGCCTAACTATTTGCTGGAACGAGGTAAACCCGAAACACCCAGCTGACACCACGAGGAGGTTGTTCGGCTAGCCAGCAGGGTTCCATCAGTCAATGCCACTTAATCACATATTTGGTGGCATTAATTAATTAGTTCATACAATTAGTTAATTATTTACTTCCTGATCGACATTTTGCAAACCATTTTTGGATCTGGCGTTCTGTCAATACAACTCCCTGCACATCCGATGATGTTTTTTGCTTGAACAGATTTTTTGACTTTCATTTTCAAAAGCAAAATATGCCGAAAATGTTGCTTTTCAATCCCCATATTTGTAAGCGCAACAACCAAAAATTATTGCATAGAATAAATCGTACTTTTGCACGTGCAAACCTCGCTATATCACCTGTTAACATGTATACTGATTATGCGGACTACATGTGAAGTTGATTGTGAAAAACAATAGTAAATAATTAAAACGATAAAACGACATTACTTTCCAGGCAACCTAATATATTCTATTGGTTCCATAATGCACCACCCTTTCTTCACAGCAAAACCCATGAACAGAAAACGCTTGTTGATACAGAGTTGCATTTTGACAGGATGATTTGGTGGCGTCCGTATCCGGATTTGCATGTCACTGTGACATCCATGGGGACAGTCACAGGACGCCTGCGCCTACAAAGGGGACCATGTGTGGCTTGCGCTGCACCACCCATAGTTCCACCCACATACTCCATAACTGGTGTAAACCCGAAGGAATAAGACCGGGAGGCATGTGGATGGGAGCCACGTTTCATCAACGGAGCCGGCCCACACTCCTTCAACAAGCAGAACAGAAGCATTCCGGCCTAATTGGGAAATCATGCACACCAGACGTACACATGGCGGTGGCTGGACCATAGCCCGTTCCACACAGTATGGAACCACTCTTTGAGCCTAGCACCGTCACGAGGACGGTGCACTCCGTTCCCACCAGCGACGACCAACTGTCTCCTGGAGCCAGTATGGACGAGGTAGTGGGTAATAGACAGGTAGGCACCTTGTCAACATTCACATCAAGCGCATCCACACCGGGGAGCTCAAACAACACATACTTCTGAAATGCAAGATTACTCAGCACGCAAGCAAACGTATCACATACGCCGCCTTATTGGCCTGGATTAGTAAATCGAATGGGAGCGTACGCATCATGCTTCTATCCCACGTGCAATAGTACCTTCTCATGCATCTGAGCAGCCGCCCTTATGATCAGTCCACGGAGTTCGCATCGATCAAATTTGCCTTGGATTCGCAACATCTGAAATCAACATGAGTTTGTCATAAACTCAGCTTCTTCATGTTCTGGTAATGTTATTTCCGGTTTGCTCGAGTGCCGTTTCCCTGCACCAAGTTAGCCGTACAAAAGCGGTATAAGTATCCTCGTCGAATCCATTCGGTTTACATATATACATAGATTGGCGTCATCCGTGTCCAATGGCAGTTCGAATACAACATATGCACATGCATTTAGCCAAACTTAAGTGTGGTACCTACATATGTGATACCTACATATATACATCCATGGGGTGCTGCTCAATGACTGTCTATGTATTTCGTGTCTGTGCTTTCGTCGTTTCGGAGGTTAACTTGACCCACCTGGTTTACACCGTCGTGATCTCATTTTCTTGATATTTTAACTACGACCGGCGGTTGTCGTTGATCGCAACCAATGTTGTTTGATGATGAAACTGTTGACAGAACAGCCCGAGTTTGTGTTCCATCTTAACCACCAATCTATCTGACTGTCCAGGCAGACCACATTGCTAGGGCAACTAACCGTCTTCCGTCTCCCTTAGTTTTCTGCTTGAGTTAATCTTTGCAGAGGTCAGTTGTCAAGAGTTTGTACGCTGTTTTTCTTATTTTTTCCGGTATTCAGCGTTGCTATTCTGATAACTACTGTGCTTTTCTTTTGTGGAGCCATGAGATGTTTCTTTTTCTCTTTCGCATACTAAACGCACTTCCCTGCGACAGTTTCTAACCGTCAGTTGCAGTGTTTCTTTTCTTAACTAGCTGCACCAGCCACTTTACCTCTGAGTTATCTTTGGTATGGGTTTCAGCCTCCATCGATATCAAAAGCAACTTAGAACATAGTTAAAATACCAGACTAAACTTGATCACATCTATTAGGCAATCTCCTTCCCCGCCATGTGTTGCGCTGCATTGACTACTTGTGTTGCACGTTCGAATTATGCGTCGCCATCCATTGACACAACATATGCATCAGAAAGACCTCCCCACTTTGCTTTTAAGCGTTATGACAATCTTAACTCACCGCGCCTCGATGGCTCAAGTGTAGAGGCTTCAATTGGCATCCCGCTATCGCGGATTCTAGCCATAGGCCTGCTATCTCTATCCGATGAGTGCACTTAGGTAATCAAACGGTCGCGGAGCACGGTGTTGCGAGCCGATTGCGCCAAACATCGAACTGTGCCAGTCATGTTTCTTACAATGCGATACTCGTGTTTTGTCATGGCCCATTGACGATCACTCGTTTATCCTTGTCATATTCTCCATATTTTCGCTACCTAAACAGACTGACACAAAAACCCCTACCACAGTTCTCGCAGAGGTTGATTTGATGTCATTATCCACTCCGCTGTTCAATTCCGATTACTTCAACACGACAGACACTGCAACAAGGGTGGCTTATCGATTGTCTGATGAGGGTCTCTGGAGATCTTGGAACAATACCTACTCAGTTGGTTTCGTTGCTGATACAAAGCAGCAATCCATGGGTAACTCTTCCAAGTCACATAGTACTTCCCGGAAGCAGCCAGATGATCAGGTATCATCCAGCGATGACAATCATGCTGCATCTGGTGTGTCGGGGAATTTAGCTCTCACTCGGGCTCAGTTTATGGAGGAAAAAGAGCGCAAGCGTCTTTTGGGCAACAAATTCAGTTTGTCCGATTTAGCAACAGATCTCTGGCAGTATCTGGAACCTCCGATCGTGCACGACCATCTTACTCGCTTCGTAGCCTTCTTGAAGATACCTTGGGAGCTGGACGAGCGACCGTTTTCTCCCTCTTGGTCTGCCTCTTTTCCTCGAATGCTCCACGTGATTCGTCTCACGTTATCTTACTTTGAAGCTCAAGTAAGTGCCCTTTTAGTATTTTTATTTAATCCTGAATGTCCGCGTTTTGAATACTTCGTCTGCCTGATACATGGCCCTATGGTTTGAAGTCCCCTGCCTTAACTGCTTGCACTTTTCTTTGTTAGAAGACTGCTAAGCATATGTTCCGTGTGAAGGGATTGCGGCACGGACTCTGTGTCAATCAATCCAGAAGTGTTTGTCAGTCCGATACGAGAAGATCTATGTCGTACACCTGCTTCACTTTTGTTAACCAGTAATCTGGTAGAGGTTTACTGTAGAACTTGTTGGGAAGACAGAATTATTATTTTCTCTAATTTGAAGTTAAAGAGGAGAGGAATGCAGTGTACACCCCACTTGACGTGGGCACTCCTATTCTCGGGACTCATGGTGCAGACTTTTGAACGGTAGGGACTGTCTCTAACATGCTCCACAATGATAGTGCTTACCACAACCTGGCATGGTATTCTGATTCAAAAGCGACTTCCACATCAAGCAGGTCATCGTTCTTTAATCAACAGTATATCGAATAGACATTGAGCCAAGCAAAACCATGAAAATCAACGCGAGATGACAGGTGGAACCGTCATCGTCATTGTAACGACGGAACTACGCTACATCGAATTACATCGCCCGGATTGTATATAAATTTGGTTACTTTGAACTATGAACCTATACTATACGCACGATGTAGACAGAAAACGGTTGGGACAGAAGAATTCGCAATGTGAGGTCGGTGGGCGGAAACAGGTAACCGTAACACACTTGTTAATATCAGATTGATGAAAGCGTGGCCTTGAGAAAACTTCCTACAAATGAAGCAAGTGTGAAACGATACTTGTTTGAAGATTTTATTGTCTAAAACGCGAAACGCATGTTATTAGCTCGGACGATAGAGAGGTTGGAATAGGACCACTGAGACGGAATATTCCATCTGGTGCAGGAAATCAAAGTTCTCCTGAGCTTTACAAAGATTATGACACATTAGCTAAATGTGATCGACACAATTCAGGTGTTGTGCCGCAAGTAAAAACTGAACATTTATTTTGCAGACGCCATTTTCACGTCTTTTTCAATTGCAAGCTATTAAGCATCTGAATCTAAACAAGTATATACACATATCTGGTTTCGATTGAGCGCCATAGTCTGAATTATTTCGAGCCAACGGCGCTCTCCGTTCTTTGGTTCCCAACCAGGTAGGCAGGTGGATCCAGTGGCAGCAAGACGTGAAGTCAACGATTTCACATGCTGTCATCACACGGTCGCCTCTAGGAGAGTCACGTGCTGGATATCGATTCCTTTGGGTAGCGCATCGTGTTATGTTCACGGTTCTGTTCTGCTCCGCTGACTGATGCTGTATCGTCGCACTTATATCCATCACGATGAAACTCGGCCTTGAGGTGGTACGATGGTTTGCCTACCTCCGTGACTCGTTGAGCTACGCTGTGTCACTCGTACCAGAGTCGGTTAGGACTCAGACCACCTCAGTCTTGGTGTCCACTTTGGAGGTTGGAGGTCATTGGCCCAATTCCATTTAAATCATTTATGGGCGACAACAGGTGACGGGTTATAATCTCACAGCTCCATTGGCGTAGAACGCGAGTGCTACTTCTTGTCTCTGATCGGGAGAGAGCACCACTCGGTGCTCCACCGTTAGCTTGCTTCAAGGCAGACAACGCCTGGACAAATGGGAGCAGACTCACAAACCTGCGGTTGGACGTAGAAGCAGGTACTTAACATACTACAGCCGAAAGTCACATGTGAATTGTTCCGTATCCTCAAGAGACTTTATGTGACAGGCGTCATGCAGATTCAAATGGGTATCTGGGCTTACTCTCCATTGCCTTGTGGGTCAGGCCATTGTGCCAAAGGCTCCGGAGGGGTGCCCTTCAAGCAAACTTCCATGTACCCCATTTCTTTGTGCTTCGGACTGTTGAGTCGAACAGATCCCCTCTCTCGAGATGCGCTGCTTGAGAGTATCGTCTGCCCCCTCGACCCCATCAACAATACTCCTTCTTCTCAATCCTCTTTTTCTTCGCCTATTGAGCAAGAGACTTCCGCTCATCTCACATCTGATGTTATCGATCCATCCAACTTGTTTCTCAAGTCAAGGGTCTGATTTTACACTGGTTCTCTTAACTTCGCACTCTAGGTTAGATCGACCAAAAGACAGCACAGACTCTGACACTTCACTTTTGGTATTAATTTGCACTCTCCAAAACACACATACAAGATAACACCATTATGACGAATATTTGACTCTGATCCAGAATTTACGAATTACACTTTTTTCGCCTCTACCGATGCTGAGTCAATGACTCAAGATGTTTATGATGTTGGTATCGCCCTTAGCAAACTAACGGAAGCTCATCTACTCGACCAGATATCAGTGAGCAGTCACATTTGTGCAGTTCGACTTTGGGGTTAATAAGCGCAGTCCAAGGACAAGGTGTCTCTTTATCGCTTTTGTTTGTATCTCCCCTCAGTGGGGGTTCTCATGGACTTTTGTATAGAGTCCCACATCTTGAAGTATCACACAGGGAATGCAGTTCATTCGGCCCCATTCCTTTCCGTTGGTATCATGCATTCCATCCTCTCCATTTTTAACCACGGCCAACCGAGTACAGACAGTCCTATTTCACTTCACCGGTTCACTTTGAGCGACGCTCACTTTTTAGCGGATGCCTTATGACTCAAGGTATGGTCTTCTTTGCTTTCTGACACATGCTGCTCACTCGATCCTAACCATAACACTGGGTTTCGGCGACAGTTCAGTTCGGAATCTTGAGAGCTTTTCACTTAAGACTAGCATATCTACTGTTTCTTTTATGTGCTCCTATCACCGGTTCGTTGTTATCTTAAGCGTATAGAACTCTTCTTCACGTTCATCAAGCTTCCGTCTCTTGTAGTACCGTTTCTTTGCTTTTGTTTTTGCTTCTCATCTCACCATGTTTGGTTGTTCCTTTGCAATACATATGTTAAGCTCTGCTTCTGCGACTTTTTTTATAGATCCCTTTGAATTTTTACCTACCTGCATGGCGTTTCTATCGCAAAAGATGGCTTCGGGATGTACTGCATTCGAAAAACTCGTCGGACCTGGCCTCTTTGTTGGCACAGTTTGAGGCCGCTATTCGGCCGGTGTGCTTCCAACGTGTGTGGTTTAATGCATTAGGTAAGCACTTGTCCACGCGTTTGCTTTTTCGAGATGCCGGGCCGTAGCCTTAAGGATCACAGGCCTGCCTTGTGATTTGAGGGCGCGGATTCCATCTTGTTTAGGGACCGGGTGACCCTCGCAGTACTATTAGTCCACATGCAACTTGTGGTGGTTGCGCGGCAATGAAGCCTCGGTACTGCGTAACGGCGTACTGCTGATGCCTTTTTTCCAGCTAATTGCAGCTATCATTGTGAATCCTCCTTGTTAAGACACTGATGCGCCCACGCAAACCAACCAAACTCCATCGGTTGCACCTACTCTTCACTTGATGCACCTTGTGTCGCGGTGACTAAGGACGCCCGATGTCTTCTACTTTATAGAACAGGTCATCGCTCACTTACCCATTCAATGTCGTTACTGCGACATCCACCGTTTAGTTCCCTTGAACTCTGACCTAAACCGTTTTGCATCAAGGCTATGGACTCTCCAGTCGTCTGGAACCGCAAGGTGACAGGCAGTTTCGTGTTATTGCTAGGTGCACCCCCATCCCATTGGTTAAATACTGATGCTTTCCGTCTCGAATCGTATCAGCACTTCGCACACCCCGTCTATCAACCGCTGCCCTTCGTTTCACAGTATGTAGTCCCTCACATTTTATTTTGCTTACTGTTTATATGGATGCTCCCCAAACTACGTCTGATCTTCACATCATTCTGCAGGCCACATTACTTTTGAACGTACAACCGCCGCCCAAAGAGAAGAGGACCGCAGACTTCGCCTAATGGATCGATCAGGTGCCGGCGGTAATCAATCGAATGCGTCTTCCATTTCATCAAATATCATTCGAACCAAAACGCCACGACCGGTACGACACACAGTTTGGAAATTCCGCGGGGAGGAATATCGCCGTTTGGGCGGTGATGGCTGGTTGTGGCTGAGTTCTACGCGCCGGTCTCCTGCAAATGAAGCAGAGCTATTGTCTTCCATTTATCCACCACTTTGTTCGCCAGTTGGCACACCTTCAACTGTCCCCGAATCCAGTCTTTCGAGGAGGATGCTGAACCACCGTGGACTGCAACATGGAATCGGATGGGGTGTATGTCCAAATTATCTGCAGGTACGCGCTTCATCTTATGTCGTAGTTATTGGTTTATCATTATCACAAAACCCCACTTGCGTCCGATCCGAAATCTGTAGATTACCAGTTGTCGCGTCTTTTTCTCATACTTTTTGCCATTTGGTTTGGGGCTCTTATTGGCATGATCACATTGTACACACAGCTCCATTCTGCCAGCACACCTTCATGCTTAAATATGGTGGCAAGTCGCTTGTTGGTCAGAGCATGGGGAGTTCTGGGCTGTTCACCTGTTTCTCCACGAAATACCCCAAGAGCTCCTATGGCGCTGTGTCAAAGCCAATGTGACCATTTACTTTGGTACCCAGAGATGAGTACCTAACCGAAGCCGGATGAACAACGTTGCTGGCCACCGGCTTCTGTGTGGACTGCTACCGAATACAAAGAAGGCGAATGTGCCACCCGGTTGTCAACGGTCTTCGTATTCGACGATTTGTGTGGACCGTCCCGCTACTTTCTGAGTCATGTCTTTATGACCAAAGGCTCAGAGTGTGGCCCCTTAAGTCTGTCCGGTCTGTGCAACCGGAAAGCTCTCTGCCCACACGATACGCAAACCCACCTTATCCTTCCCGTTTCCCCCTTTTTATTGTTTCCCATGTGTTACGGCACTCTGTTAATTGTTAATTGATCATTTTGGATATATATATATATATATATATATATATATATATATATATACATATAATGTTGTTCGCCTATCCGCTGCACGTGGTGTATTCCGTTGGTACGTTGCAGCTGACAATTGCCGACCATCCTCCCCATCTGTAAGAGGGCCAAGCCGTTTCGTGTGAAGACTATTGGGACGTAAACTAACGTTTCTTTACCTGTCAACTTCTTACAAGCATCGTATTACAGCGGCGGCACGTTGCCACTCCGGCAAAGGGTGCAGGTAAACACCAAACCGATCTTCCCCCTGATGCCAGTTGCACGTCTGCTGTTATCTCTTATCCGGACAACTTGTTTTACTTGTGTCTTCTGCTGAATTATCTTTGGAGTAAGGCTGATTATGATACGATATAGGGGAAATCCCAGAGGCTCTTTCCGATATCTGCATGCTTGTTTGATAACGACGCAGCAGTGCGATGGTGGTTGCACTGCCATACATGAAGACAGCTTACAATGGTTGTAATTGTATGTTCGAACTCTATTTTTACATGTGTTGGTCGCGCCTGTTTTTGACACCAAATATTTCTGCAGAACTGCTTTTTGCTCTAAAATCTCTAAACCTCGCGTCGCAACGTCGTGGTTCATCGGCAACTGTACTGGGAGTCCACTGCTATTTGGGTGTCATGATCATTCTACCATTTTCCCTACGATCTACTGGAGTAGAACTTCTGCCAGATGACCGACTGACAAATCTGGAGTATGCGGACGACATAGCACTTCTTGGGTCTAACGAAACAGATATGCAAACACTATTGGACGGACTGTTGCGTAGCACTGCACACTTCGACATGTGCTTTGCACCTTCAAAGTGCAAATTACTGTTGTAGGACTGGACCGACACGCCTCCGAACAGCCCCTGAAAATGGTGAAAATGGTAGCTGTGTCACCTCTGGTAGTCACATCACTGATAAAGTTACTTCGCGTATCAGCAAGGCCCGTGTGATTTTCCAGAGACAGCCATCTATGGAAGCGACTGGAATCAGCTTGTCAGTGAGAGGGTAGGATGTATAATCTGCAGTAAGATCGGTGTTACTGTATGGGTCAGAGGTTTGACCAGCTCGCGGTGAAGATATTAAACACTTGGCTGTGTTTGACCACCGGTGCTTCCGGAGTATTGCTCATCATTATCATCATCATCGTTACACGTTAGCTGGAGGTGGAAAACACCTCAGCTATTGTGCCGCAATACAAAAGAAAAGAAAAGGAAAACAGTGGCACCCCCGCTGAGGCCCCAGTAACGGATGGACATCGTACCGGAGAGCTAACAGCTGGCTGCCGTAAAAGAAACTCGTATTATGCCTAACAAGTGAGATCGTGATTGGAGGGGGATGCCAAACAGGAGGGGGATGGACAAAGGAAATCACAACACAAACGCCATTGATACCGGCTCCAAGCCATATCAGCAAGTGTGTCCAACCAAACGTGTTCACCGTCCTTAGGACCCCAACCAGGCAGTCGGGATGCACCAACCGACGCCAACTTCGAAGTGAGGGTTTTCATTTCTCTCGACCAAGTCATCACTTGGCCTCCCCGCCTCCTCTTCCAACCGCACCCACAACGCGCAAACAATGCACGTCGCGGGTGTCGGTGTGCTGGCATGCGCAACACGTGGCCCAGCCACCGGAGCCTGGTGCATGATATAATGGTGTTGAGCGGTTCACTCGCTCTTCCTGCACCAAATACGCGACGTCGAACACGCGGTGTTCCCACCAGACATGAGCTAAGCTGCGAAGGCAACGACGATCGAATGTGACGAGCCTCTTAAGTCTGTCTACCTGATGGGCCAGGTTGCACAGCCGTATAGGAGAGTTAAACGGACGGCTGCGTTGTAAACTCTGCCCTTCAGGGCGAGAGTAATGTCGCGTCTGCGCCACAGGTGGCGGAGATTGGCAAAAGCACCTCGAGCTTTTGCTATACGGTTCGTAACCTCATCATCCCACGGGTGCTAATATAGCTGCCCAGGTACTTGAATTCCTGGACGACTTCTAGCAGATCACCACCAAGCGTTAGCGCAGGGTTGGGTCCCTGCCAATCTTGGGGAAGTACTTTGCATTTCGATGGAGCAAAACATATCCCAAAACGATTGACAGCCAGTGCTAATCGGTCCAGTGCTGTTTGGCATGTTTGGGGGCTGTCACAGATTAGGGCAATATCGTCCGCATACTCCAGGTCAAGAAGTCGTTCATCAGGAAGTAGCTCCACACCTTCTAGGTCGTGTCCAGCGAACGCTGTTTCCATGACTTCATCAATAGCGAAGTTGAAGAGGAAATGTGACAGCGGGCAGCCTTGTCTCACGCCGCTGGTGATACTGAAGAGTGGCGAAAGTTTGCAATAAACCCTCACCCTGCCCGAACTATGCGCGTACAGCGCTTTGATAATGTTTACATTTTTGTCAGGCACACCTTTCCTCAGCAGACAGTCCCAAAGGACACATCGATCGACTGAGTCGAAGGCGCCTTTTATGTCAAGAAACACGACAACGGTGGGTCGCCAATAAACATGGCGGTGCTCCAACACTTGACGCAATGTGAAGATGTGGTCGATGCAGCCCCAATCTCGACGAAATCCGGCTTGCTCTTCACGAATCTGGCTTTCACGAGTGGCAGTCAGTCTGTGGAGAATGACAGGGGCAAGCAATTTAGAGGCAATCGAAATCAGACTGATCCCTCTATGATTGCCGCATTCCAAACGGGAGCCTCCCTTGAAAATTGGGACAATGACAGAGTGGTTCCAGTCTGTCGGGACTGTCTCCTGCTCCCAAAGTTTTACTAGCAACTCGTGTAGATCATCTACTAGAGCAGGTCCCTCGAATTTGAAGAGGGCTGGGGGAATTCTATCTACTCCTGCGGCTTTATGCAATTTCAACAGCCTGATCTCACGTTCAACTTCTGCGCGTGAGGGCGGATCCGAGGAGACGGCCCAAGGAGACGGGCACTCAATGCCCGAAGAAGAAAGCGATAACTCAGGTTTGTTAGATTGCCTTGCAAAGTGTTCAGCCCAACGCTCCAAGCGTTTTGACAAGCTGTGGATCGACTGCCCACTCTCGCCGCGCATGGTCTCGCTAACACCAGGTCTCCTGCTGCCTGTTTCCCGTATCGGACGGAATAACTTACGATGATTACCAACGGCAGCGGCTGTTTCCATCTCAGAGGCACGATGAGACCACCAGGTTTCGCGGTCCTTCTTCAGGCTAGCACGTAGTTTTGCCCTGAGATTTTTGCGAGCCTCATTGTATTCGCTTCCAGCCGGAATACGTCGGCGAGCATCCAAAGGTTCCAGAGACTGTGTAGAGACCCAATGTCCGGTTCGGCAATTTGTTTTGCCACATGAAGACATGCCTGCTAACAGCAACGCTTGACGAATATGCGACCAGTGATCTTCAACGGTGTTTAGTGGACGCTTACTCAGCCCAGATGTCAGCGCATTCACACATACACACACACACACACACACACACACGCATTCATACACATTCAGAACATCTGGCTTCGCCAGCTGGCTGGTGTCAATCCGTTCACATCGACGTTGCGGACGTCCAGCGAAACGCACCAGGAGGTCGGCACAGACAAGTGCGTGGTCAGAGTCCACGCTCGTGCTCCAAATCGAGCGACAATTTTGAACACAGCCTCTCCAGCGGTAACTGATCGCGATATGATCGATTTGCGTCCATGGTTGGCCCGAGGCTGGTGGCCGCCAAGTCACGCTTCTGCGGGTGCTGTGTCGAAAGTTAGTGCTCGCGAGAAAGAGGCGAGCATCTTCACACAGCTGTAGCAATCGCTCACCATTATCATTACGGCAGCCCACACCATGTTGGCCACCCAGATGAAGCTCATCAGAAGACAATTTTCCGACTTGGGCGTTTAGATCGCCAGCCAACACCACCGTATCCGTGCTTCTTCTGTAACGAAGGAGCTCGTGAAGTTGCTGATAGAAATCATCTTTTACCGGATCAGTGCTACAGTTTGTAGGGGCGTAAGCCGCAATGACAAACAGGCAACATTTGTCCCCGCGCGACTTCGTAGCACGGAACGAACCAGCTAATCTAACGGCGCACATTCTACTGTTTACTAGGATCCAATCAATCAGGGCAGCTTCAGCCCGGGGACTCAGAACAATGCCGACGCCAGCTTGACCGGCATTTGAAGCTGCATCATCGCCAGACAGGCGCAATGAGAATGTGCTGCCGGTGTCGCATGTGGGGGATCTCAAGGTAAGCACGGAGCTCGAACGTTGCAGGCGGGTTTCAGATAAACAGCAAATATCGATCGATAGGGTCTCTAGTGTGTGGGAAAGTGCTGTCTGTTGGCCAATCTGCAGCAAAGTGCGCACGTTGAGGCATACCAGTCTTAGTGGGACGCGAGGACTCCAAAGGGAAACAGATGAACTGCCGTTGTCCGCTTGGTTGAACATGCACTTGTCGATTGGATTGGAGCGAGGCCCTGCGATTGTGTGTGACTTGAAATTAGAAGACAAGCGACTATTGAAGTAAGCTGGGTGAGGGCCAAGAATTGGGGGATTGAAAATGGGGGGGATATAAGTAAAGTTGGAGCGGGACGATAAGGATGAAGGAGCGCAAGAAGGGGTATAAGAAGACGGGACGGCCTGAGCAGTAGCATCCATACCCCTATGCACCCTGCTCGATGCAGCAGATAGGGCGCCGTTTATTATCCTCTGCGACGGCCAGAGCATCAAGAAATTGTTGTAGGAAAGGTTCATTGGATTGCGTGGGCAGGTTGCCCAGGCCTAGACAGGAGAACGATTAGGGTTCCCAACCAAAGCCTTTGGTTCAAAAACCTTACCGCAAGGCAGCGGGTTTTGGCACTGGACTACGGAGCCCGTTTTACGAAATAAGGAGCCACCCCCATTCCAACCCCCAACCTGGAGGACCAGGAGGCTAAGTTTGTCTGGCCTCTAACCATTGACCAATCTGGTATGAGTGGCTCTGAAGGTGCAAAAAAGCACAATCCAGCATAGCTCAATGGATCCCGGAGGCACGCAAACCATCGCACCACATTAAGGTCCAGCCTCATTGCGATGGGGAGTATTGCTCATGTATTGTGGGAACACCGAGTGAGCAATGCTATGGTTCGCTAGTTGGTTTTTGGCAGGAAGCTTTGTGATTCCTCACTCTACTGTTTACTGAATGTTAATCGCTTACGTTGGCTAGGCCTTGTCCTCCGTATGCTCATTGACTGACTAGCTCGGCGGGCATTATACGCCGTGGCTGCACCAAATTGAGCGAAACCGCGGTGTGGGCAGTCTATGATGTGACATAGTGGCAGGAAGTAACTGACTAAGGGACTTGGTCAAGCTGGTGTGTGCTATCTTCCTGGATGGCCCATACCAATGGTTGGAGACCGTATTACACATGGCGCAGTCACGCACTCATTGGCGTTCCTGCATTTCGTTTCTTGCATCTGGTTGCTAATTTTCGTTTCATTCTGTTAAATTTAAAGTGATTCCGCCTTGCTTCCATTTTCTTTACATTCAATTTGCCTTTAGCATCACTATCTGGCCATTGTTATTTATCGTTATTTTTGGGATGTGAGTCGTGTCAACTGGATCCACCGCATTTCGATGCTCGGACCATAATTGCTCAGTTGAACTTCCTCTACCATCTACAAGATTGGGAGTGATGCCGTTCGGTTTATCATTTGTAGCGAAAAATTTCAACCCAATGGTCAACTGACAAATCTGGTGGCATACGAGAGCGCTGTGTAGTTCGGTCGGTTTGGGGTCGGAACCGACTCCATTGACATTCTTTCGCGCAGCTTGACGCTCTGCATGCGTGCTACATCACATGCCCCGCACGTTCAAAATGGCGCTTGTTACAGCCTGGGAATGAATTTCACCTAACAGCCAGTGGACATGGGCAATCGGTTTCCCTCGTTGAGTAATTGTGTCATTTTTTGTGACCGAATCGATGAAGAGCATCGGCGAGATCCTATCGGCTGGCCAGGACCATATCATACAACACTATTGTTTTGCCCATAGATGTTACTACGAAGCGGTAGAAAGCCGTTATGCAATCTTTGTCGCTACATGATCTTAATAAATAACCGCTGCAATTGGACGCCCTTAAATTGCCAGTTATGTTTGACCAGTAGTGACCATTTCTCACCATATCTAATAGGAACGCTTAATGTATAGCGCCAAACTCGGGGTGCTTTTGCCAACCTCCGGCACCCGTGACGTCAGTGTGACATCACTCTACCTCTGAAGGGCAGGGTTCACAATTCACCCGTCCGTTCAACTCTCTACGATTGCGAAACCTGGTCCAGTAGATCAACCGACATAAAGAGGCTAGCTACGTTCAATGCTCGCTCCCTTCGACGCACAGCTCATGTCTGGTGGGAACACTGCGTGCGCAATGAGCATGTTCGGCGTCGCGTATTTGGTGCAGGAAAAGCGAGTGATTCGCTCAGCACCATTATATCACGCACTAGACTCCGATGGCTGGGTCAGCACACAGACTCCTGCATCTGCGTTGTTTGCGCGCCGGGAGTGTGTAGAGAAGTTGAGGGGAGGCCACGCGATGATCTGGTCAAGAGGAAGGAAGTTCCTCACTTCGAAATTGGCATCGGTTGCTGTTTTCCGACTGCTGGGCTGCGACTCAGTAGCTGAGGTGTTTCCCACCTCTATCTAACGTGTGTGTGGGGTGGGTCCTAAGGACCATGAACACCTTTGGTTGGATCCACTAGCTGGCATGATGAGGTCCGAACACTGGTCTTTTTTACCTTCCCTCCTCTTTTAATTCTCCCTCCAGCAACAACCTCAAACCTGATACATAATGTGATTTTAGCATTATGTTACCATTTTGGCTTTTGTAGTCTCTCTTATCTTTTGGTATTGCGGCACCTTAGCTGAGGTTTGTTGCTCACCCTCGACTAACGTGTATTGCTGCTGCTGCTTCTACTGCTGCTGCTGGTGATGAAAAAGAAGGTCCTTCTGCTGGTGCTTGTCAACAGACTCCCTTACCCTAGGGCTAAGTTGTTTAAACGCATACCTGTGATCGTTTTCCAAAGCTAACCTTCGCTTATTTTTTCAGGGACAAGTTCCTATTAAACCTCCCAGACCAGGGGAATGTCGCGGACATGTTCTTCACCCCATCACTGGCATTCCACTATACCTCAATCCTCGACGAGTCCCATTTATTATACCTACGGACGAATTACGGCTCATACAGAGTTTGGCGGCGCCTTGGGAAGCAGTAGAGGCATCTCTGTCATGCTCCGCAACTCCCGGACATGAATCGAAGTCGCAGCCCAAGGAAGATCCTGTTAACTCTAGTCCCCAGATTTCTGCAACAGAATATCCTGTTAGCAATTCTCCAGTTTCATCTAATGGACAGAAAATCAATTCAGTGAAAACTGAGACGGTAAATGGAATGAATTCTGTGTCCATTGGACCTTCGCTCACTGCAGTCCCCGAACTGTCCTCCTTGGATGAGCCGGTGGTGCTTAATGTGTCTTATGTGAGTTTCTAACGGCGACGACGAATGGCTTTGACTCCTTTTATTCTAGGTTTGATGATTCATTCTTAAAGTTCTATATCACCTTGTTCACCGATGGCGAAATATCGTTGCAGTATTTTTAACTAGACACCTTATTCGCTTGTGAAGACCCACTCCTTTTTTCCATTTTTACAGTGTTTGCGTGAACGAGTTCACTTTCCACCCCTTCCTCGGCGGCCAACCACTTCACGCGCTGCATCTCGCCGCCTACGATTTCGCTTAGACGATCTACTCAATAAGAGACAGACGGTTGCCGAGACGGATAAACGCAATGCGTCAGCCGCAGAGGCGACTATGCGGTCATTGGAGGTCGAACTCAGCGAAATTGAAGGAAGGCGAAGCCAGCTGTCCGAGCGATTAGTTCAACTAAATGCAGATGCTCAAGAGGCACGGACGGCCAAGGCGAAAGCGATGAAAGCTAAGATGGCTGGCGATACAGAACCATCGGCCGTGAACCGTGATTCGGAATCGGGAACTACGGACCAACCACATACGAATTCTTCTCGACAACTGATCCAGCACTCTGTGGTGACACTTGAAAACGGGCCCAAATTCCGGTAAGTTGACATCACGCGTGCTTTTTTTGCTCTAGACTCAACTATGCGTGGCCGTGCTATTGTGTGATGCCTCTGTGTCCGCGGTTCCAGTCCATGTTTGTACGCCCTGACGGTCACTCACCCCGCTTACAAATACTCCGAAAGAGTTACCACGTAACATTTGCATAAACATACTTGTGTGCTGCTGATTTCCTCTATTATCAATGCTCCGTATTCCTCACCCATGTCTGATCTTCCGTCGGTTAGTCACTCTGACAGCCAGCACCGGGAGCGCGGATTCGAGGCTTCGTAGGAACCGGGTTAATTTCGCGGTATTGTTAACTTACATGCGACTTGCGGTGGTGGTGCGGAAACGAAGCGTCGGTACTGCGTATCGGCGTGCTGCTGATGCCTTTTTCCATCTAGATAGTTACCTCTTGGCTTGAATTGCTACCAATGGTCATTTCAGAATTCGTAACCTCCTCAGGCTCGTTGGGGCTAAGCAAAGGCTAGTTCGTCTGTTTCGTTCGGTTCTCTAATTCCTACTTGCCAGTAAATCAATGTCTCCTTCGATTCCGTTTTGTACCGTCCATCCTCACGGCTCGATGCCATGGGCAGACGACAGACCTTTGTGCAGATGCTCGTAGGATGCTCCAACAGCAACACTGCATCGGTAAACTGACTGACGTTTCGCTACCGTACAACCAGAATGACCCACAGAATCGTGACCAATAAGAAGGGCAAAACACGACATACGACCACAAACAGCTGGCTATCATACGAGAATAGAATATCTCGGTGCAACTGCTTCTTTGCCTCTTTCACTTCCACGCACCATAACTTTAACATTCGCATTACCGAATATATGAAGCCAGGGCCTTACTGGTGTGCTGCTTCGAGCCAGATCATTTTAGGTTGCCAGCCATGTGCAAAGTGGATCAAGTGGGTGGGTTCCAGCCTCGAAGCCGAGACGAATCAACCGCACCCAGCTTAGTCATCATCGATTTTGCTTCCCGCTGCCAAGTCGGCTTTTACCTCCCGTCTTTTGAGCCTCTTGCGATCCGACATTCCTGACACAACGCAGCTCTCCTCGGCATTCTGTGACAGCCTAAGGAGCGCTTGTCCAAGCCAGCGCTAATCAGCGGCGACGGATAATTTTCTCGAAGTCGGTCCCCTTTTCTTGATAGAAGGGGTTGAATCACGATACTGCAACGCAACTCGGCAAAAGATTTGATCTCATATGTTTATCTCCTTATGGGCAGCAGTCAACTCAGATCAACTTCCGGCGCCATGTGTTACCCAGCGTTGTGATGCAGTAACTGTCTTTTACTTGTGACCCCCATTCCTCGGTTACCTGCGTGGTCATGTAGAATACTCAATGGGACAGCATTACTTAAGCACATCGGCTGCGTGCATCCACCGTTCACCAATAATTTCAGCTTCTTTCATTCGTGTGATTTAGTGCGCTGTTGCGCTTTGACGCCTCATTGAACCCTTCTAACTCGAAGTCTGCCCAGAGGCGCTCCGTTTGAGAGCTTTGAGATGATCACATCAAGAAAGGACTTGTATCTTCGCCGGTCATCGTCCAGCCATTATGGCCATTCCCTATATTGTGCAATTGTCCCTTCTAACTGTTCGTGTTGTTCTGTTGCGGATGTTCCTAATGCAGTGGACATTAACCTTCACGTTAATTGCTAGGCTGTTAAGTATAGGCTTCCGCTTATTGAAGTTTTCGTATGGTTTAACGCTATCATCCCTTCTGTAGAGGCGTTTTCGTTACCACTGTACGAGGTGTATCAGAAAAGTTCCAAGCTTGTTGCCACAAGCTTCACACCAAAAACTTTCCCCTTCAAACTAGTTCCCTTTCCATCCTTCTCTGCGACGCTTGCGTGCACTCTTAGAAGGGTTCCGCTGGGATTCTCCGCAGCTCCGTTGCCACTGCTTTTTTGATGTCCACATCTTGGCCTTAGGGAAGAGGAAAAAATCACACGCAGTTAGGCCTGGTGAGTAGTGAGGTTTCTCCAGCACGTCGATTTTCTTTTCGGCCAGGTGCTGTCGGACGCTCTAGGCATTGTGAGTAGCCGCGTTGTCATGGTGAAACAGCCTCGAGTTGCCCTACCACAACTCTCGTTTTTTCTCACGCATTAAACGTAGTAAACGCGGCACTATCTTTTTTTTTAGACATGTTGCTTGATCGTCTGGCCTTGTGGCAAGAACACACGGTGAACGGTCTTCTTCACATCGTGGAATGTGATCAACAGGGCTTTGACTCTGAATTTCGACTGTCATGCTTACCTTTGTCTTATCGACGTCGACTTTTTCGCTGAAGACTTTGGTCTCCGGATCGTACTGAAAGATGTATGACCCAGCACCGGTGATGACTTTCTTGAACTGGTCTGGTTTGGATTCAAGATGATGGAGGACGTCCTGACACATTTGCGTGTGTCCAACCTCCTGGTCATCGTTCAGTAGTTTTGGTACTATCTTTGTGCATGTCCGGATCTCCGGCGAGAATTGCTCCCACGCTGTCCCGATTCATATTTGCCATCAGTTCAACAGTCAGTCAACGATCGCTACGCGCCATCTACCTGATGCACTCACCTTTGACCTCAGTCCTTGTAGTTGAGGCTATTCCGCTCATGGGTTCTCGCGTTCTTTTCAAACTTCTTGCCCTGCTCACAAAACACAGGGGCATGACATTCTCACCTACGTACACTTGCTGCAACAGTTCTTGTGCTTCTGACGGAGTTCTCCTTAACCCTACCAACAACTTAAAGTTTGTTCGTTGCTCCGTACTTATTACTTGACGACCTGAAATTGTGCTGAACTCATGTTGGTGGCCGCAGAGAGCCAATGTCACAGTTACACATTACGGAATTGCTTTGAAACACAAAACCCTTCGCGTGAAAGTTGAGTTTGCAGTAACGTTTGTGACAACACTCCTGGAATTTTTATGAAACACCTAAATTTTTCTGTAGTTTCCTTGCATTATTCGATTTGCAGAACTTCGGTTCCGTCTGGCATTAGGCAGTATTCGCATTGAAGTTTAGTTCCGCTCACTGCAAGGGGAGTACAACGCGCCGTTGCCGAAGCTGGCGTGTCATAGACCGTGCAGCATTGTAACGGTAGTTGACACACATCTGAATTAGTGTACACTAACCTATCGTCTGCATCTTCGGGGTGCACATGCGGAAAAGGTACTTATCCAATCGGTGGTTTAACGAGGCTGCCAATCGTCACTGTGGTATTGAAAAGGTTGTACCGTCTTTAAGCTTTTAGGTCAGGAATATCTGCCAGATATTCACACATTGAACGCTACACGAGCATACTCTGGGCACCGCCTTGCGGACTCAAACAGGTCGGTAGTATATAAGCTAACCGAGAAGCACAATTGACTTCATTTTACATTATTGTATGCTACTCTTTACGGTTCCTGTTCACAGTATGGAGTGTATGGGTAGTGTCTCGGTAGCACAATCATCATGTGATTGGTGGCAGCCGCAGTGACAAGCACGTCCACAAACTAATCTCGCCAAGTGTTACCTGCTTTGTAAAATTTGTTTTTTTTGCGTCCCTTGCCCTTTTTGGGGAAATGGGACGAATATGTAGTTTCAAGATGAAAAATATGCTGTTCAGAGCTTTCCGGATATCTTGTGACTTTCTGGTTGCGTCTACTCTAATGTTTAGTATCCTATTCTTTGTATTGCTTCACATTAACTGATGTATGTTTCTCTAACGTGTATTTATGTTGTTGACGCGTCTAGATTTGTTGCTCACCATGAAGGTAACTCAATCTCTCCTTCGGCTTTTATCTGTTTTCTTGTGCTCTACATACAGCTGCTTTTTTTGGTTTGTTCGCACTAGCTTGATACACCTGCCGATCTGTGGATGCTACCTCTCATTTGCCCCCAAACAAGGTTAGCTACACCATTTGCTTCTCAAGAGTACATGGTTTCACTTTATTGACAATGGCGGTCCACAATGAGATTGCGTGTCGCAATCCATTGACATAACTCTTACTTCAAAATTGCACTCCAATCGTTGTGCCAAGCATTGGCCGTCGTGATCCCGTAGCCAAACGGGTGGAGGTTTCGGATAGCATTCCAATGTTCTTGGGTTCGAGGCCTGCTGTCTTCATCTGATTAAATCAAATGTGATTGAAACGCGTCGTGGAGTGCAGTCTTTTCGGGCTGGCAACACCCAATTTCCTTGTGCTTCATCAGCTACCAAGGTTCGCTTCACTGCAAATCGCGGTCGATATTGTTGTTGCGTGCTACAGTCCATCCATACAGCGAGTACTTCACAGTAATCCACCAACCGGTTTCATTTCAGCTATTTTCACAGAATCCATTCATTTTGTAATCTTTTCCCTTTTCTTTTCTCGTGTGTTGTAGTGTCATTACTTCACGCCTCCCCAATCAACCGGTCTACGCACCCTTCATAGATCAGACGTCCAAACGTCCATGTCGTCAGCCCCCATCCAGACCGAAACGCAAGCGATCCGACGACGATGACTACAGTTCAGATGATAATTGTGGTTCCAATGGCGGTTTACAACTGAGGCGTAGTGCTCGTAGGCAGCGAGCGACGCGCCCGGATCCCGATTTCGTTGTCGACTTCGATGACGAAGAGGAAGGCTCACCTGATGGCAGTGCTGCCGATGCGAATTCGGACTGCGACTCGCAGTCAGCTTTCACAGATCATGAACACTACGCTGTCCGCGGTGGAGGAGATCACACTCAGATCTGTCGTCAGTTACCACAGTATGATGGTGTCGGTGATGAATGTTCTGGGGATGATGACGAATGCACCTCTCCCGAATCTGACATTCTCTCAGATAGTGCCTCCGCACACCCAATGGGAACATTTTCTGACAACTCTGAAGATCAGGTCAGTTACTTTACTAACACGTTTCACATCCACATTATTTGAATCGCCACCATCCGTTTTCCATTTTAATTGCTTATCTTGGGTTCACTGTCTTACTTAGCTCTCATTGAATCAACATTACTTCCCACGGTAATTAAATACGCACCACTATATGCCGTCCAAGTTTGCAATCTTGTGGCACAGTTGCTAGATCTGTATTTTTGCGACATCACGTACATAATGATTTATGAAGGACCCGCGTCTTTCGATCATCTTAGATGGCTTGATTTTGTCACATTACAAACATCTCACTTTGGTGGTTGCCCAATACATGTCGAGATAATCGAATCAGTGATACAGCAACCGACTTCCTCCACAACGGGAAGTGCACTGATCATGTATTTACGCTTCATGCGGTGCGAGAGCGGGGTTTTTTATTTACACTAATGGCCCTCCATAATCGTTTCCCCAGATCACCTTTTATTCGTTTACCTACGCGCACCGCTGACCTCTGATCAAAAGGGCTTCTCTGTCATTCGAAGTTCATGATACTTCTCTCGAGGTCGCGCGTCTTTGCTTTTCCTCTGGACTGTCTTGCTTTGGCGGCCGATGGCTGAACGGATAAGGCGTCTGCCTTGCATTCCGAAGATCGCTGGTTCGAATCTGCATAGGTGCGGCACCCGATCCATGCGCTACTAGTGTGCTGCGGGCGTGGCAGCGAAGCCGCGGCTTTCGGCGAGCTGGTGTACTTCTATTACCCTTTTCGTAATTTGCCCGTTTCACGGGGAACTCTGTCATGCTTTTTCCTTAGTTGATGTTCTGCCAAGTTGCCCACTGCACCTGGACACTAGTTCTTTGGCATTCGGATGCGGCTGCCATACAGACGTTTTGAACTAGACTTTCATATCCTGTACTACTTGGATACGCGCCTCTCATCTTCAAAGTCCGGGCTGCTGCTGCAGACGGGTCAGCACTCAGCCGATCCCCATACATCGGCTAGTTACCTTACCTGAGCACCTTCGTTGATATGAATGTTGTGCATCTCATCGTTGAGGTTCAATCGGTTTTTCATGCCTCAAAGGTATCATCCTTAGTCCTGCGGTCACTTTAGGGTTACTTTGTGCATCAGAGATATGACCACTACGCGTCTAGAACATAAATAACGTACTGTCCCTTGATTATCGTTATGACATCCAATGCGCTGTATTCTGTGCCGCCGTACTAGTCAGCATTCGCACCTGAGCCATTTTGGTTTATTTTGTGAAGTTTCTGCGATCCACATGTATCGCAGTGTGCATCGTATATCGATGAAGCCAAATTGTGGCCAGTCGATGACATAGACACAGTCAGGAGATTTTTCAATGTACTTGCTGGGGTCAATGCATGGGGTCCCACTTTGGGAGGCCACTGTTCGGCAACACATAAACTCCTAACCAAACTTATACTTTCACTAAGAAAACGACTTGAACCAGTAATGCTCGGTAGAAACATCAGCTTACTCCATGAAGATTCAAGTATGTTGCGTGACATTGCACATACGTCCTCGTTAGTTCGATCGGTTCTACCGTATCCTTTTTGTATCTGGCTTAGCTGTCCCGGAACCTAGTTTTTGCTGTGCGTGCATTTTCAAACTACTTGTTCAGTTTCCGTAGCTGATGCTTCAACACCTTTTGGTGTCAAGTCGTTGGCTTCTTTTTTGGCTGAGATTGGGAGCCGCGGAAACTGATCATTTCATCCAAGACCGCACACAAAGATAACATGTAACAGTAGCCCCCTTACTTGCTGCTTTCTTCTCAACCAAATAAATTTACTTTGTGCTTTATTGTTTTCTACCTTCATCCTCTTCAATGACTGTCAGTTATTTTTATCATTGTAGCGAATGTGTTTATTGCGTTCTCACACTCGGCCCATGTTTAACCATCGTACCTGAACTGATTGAGATGTTTCACCATGTCTTAGATTTCTGATACTGGCCGCTAATCCGCCTTTGGTGTGATATTTCGACACATTTCATCTGTTTTTCTTCACCTAAAAGGTGCCTTCGACTCAGTCCATCGATGTGCCCTTTAGGATTGTCTGCTGTGGAAAGGTATGTCTGATAAATACGCAAAAGAACACGAGACTATAGGTGAACAATTGTTTTCGATGATTCGCTTCAGACCATTACAATCATATTTAAGGGTAAAATAATGAACTAAAATCGACTCATTGGCTCGAATTACATAGTTACGTAACGGTTCAGTGAGGGAGGCTAAAATTTGACCTTTGACTTGACAGGTCGATTACATGGTACCGAGCTTGATCTGTGGCAATCGACCTCGGTATGGTTCGTTCTAGCTGGCCATGGAAGCTGTAAGGCATGGAGCAACTTTCGCGAGCATAATGAAGGTTGCAACAACCGAATGCAAATCGATTCAGCTTTCGCGAGCGCACGGAGGCACAAACCTCTTGATTAATGCTGGGGAACCCTGTAAATTCTCCTGAAGGCACGCTCTAGATCAACTTGGTGCCCAGTGTCAACAATATGGGCCAAAACGGCGCTGCTAATAGCTACTAATGGCCCATACGCAAACATTATCCAAGTCCTGCGCATAGTTTGGGCATAGTGAGGGTTTATGGCAAACCGTCGCCATCATTCAGTATCACCAGCGGTGTGAGAGAGGTTGCTCACTGTCACTTTTCTTCTTTAACTTCACAATTGACGAAGTCATGGAAACATCGTCCGATGGACACGACTTACAAGATGTGGATCTGCTTCCTTGTGAGCGACTTCTTGACTTGGCGTATGTGGATGACATTGCTCTCATCTGTGACAGCTCCCAAACGTGCCAAACAGCACTGGACCGGTTAGCGCTGGTTGTCAATCGTTTTGGGCCATGCTTTGCTCCGTCGAATTGCGATGTCCTTCTCCAAGATTGGCAGGAACCCATTCCTGCGCTGACGCCTCGTGGTGATCAGCCATAAGTCGTTCAGGAATTCAAGTACCTGGCAGCTACATTAGCACCCGTGGGATCGAAGATGAGGTTACGAACCATATAGCAAAGCTCGAAGTGTTTTGCCAATCTCCGCCACCAATGACGCAGATGCGACATTACTCTCGCCCTGAAGGGCAGAGTTTATAACGCAGCCGTCCGTTCAACTCCTATATGGCTGTGAAACCTGACGCATTAGATCGACGGACATAAAGAGGCTCGTCACGTTCGATCATCGCTACCTTCGCGGTTTAGCTCATGTCTGGTGGGAGCACCACGTGAGCAATGAGCTTTTCGACGTCGCGTATTTGGTGCAGGAAGAGCGAGTGAACCGCTCAGCACCATTAAATCACTCACTACACTCCGATGGCTTGGCGATATGTTGCACATGCCAGCCCACCGACTTCCGAGACGTGCATTGTTTGCGCGCCAGGTGTGCGGTTAGAAGAGGAGGAGGAGAGGCCAAGCGATGACTTGGTCCACCGCAATGAAAACCCTTACTTCGAAGTTAGCGTCGATTGCTGTTTCCCGACTACCTGGCTGAGGTCCTAAAAACGTTGAACACGTTTGGTTGGACACACTTGCTGATATGGCTGGGAGCCGGCCCCGATGGTGCTTGTGTTGTGATTTTCTTTGTCCATCCCCTCCCCTTTAGATTCCCCCTCCAATCCCGATTTCACACAAAACGCACAATATAATATTTCACATCATATTACTTGGTTAGAATCTTGTTTTCTAATGTACTTTTTTGGTCTCTTATCTTTTTTATTGCGGCACATTAACTGAGGTTTGTTTTCCACCCTCAACTAACGTGTAATGATGATGATAATGATGTTTTTTCATCTTTTTACCCATTGCATATAATCGTTCTTTTTCACGCACAGATGTTTGAAGATGTTACTCTGAATGCTTCTGTATTTCAACGCAAACCTGTGTTCAGACCCCCGGTAAACGTTTCAACGCAGTCCTCATTGCCGTCATGTACTACTTCCACGGCTGTAAACATCCAATCAGCGATTGATGCGAAGATATCTACCAACTCGTCAGCATCTGCGGCATGTTCAAACGGTGATTTTTTTGGGAACCCATATCCACTTTCTGTTCATTTCAGGCCCCTATTCCATTCGTACGCTGGGCTTTTAAATTCCATCGCTACCCCTCGTTTATTTATCGCACATACCTCTTAGCGTTTTATCTTTCGTCTCCGAATTTGTAACTCACTTGTCGTTTCATGCAATGATCATTCGCATCTGGGATTTGCCGCTTGTTTTTGTCAACCTTCTCAACGACTGGTTATTTGAACGTTCAAGTTGGAAAATTGTCCACGGATGAGCTGCATCTGGGCAGCCAAAACGGTGTAAGCCCCCGTAATGATAACGGTGAGCGGCTGCTACACTTGTGTGAAGATGCTTATCTCTTTCTTGCGAACACTAACTTCCAACACAGCACCCGCCGGAGGGTGACATGGTACCCACCAGCCTCGAGCCACTCATGGACACATTGATCACGTCACGATCGGTTACGGTTGGAGAGATTGTGTTCAAAACTGTCGATCGATCTTGAGCACGAATGTCAACTCTGACTATGCACTGGTGTATACCGATCTCCGAATTTGCTCCGGCGGGCACCTGATACGACATTGTGAGCGCCTAGATCTAGCCAACTGGCGAAACCAGGTGTTCTCAATGCATATCAAGCTGCACAGCATGCAGGTTGAGTGAGCACTCGTTGAACACCGTTGAAGGTCACTGGTCGCATATCTACCAGACATTATTAGCAGCAGCCATGTCTTCATGTGGCAAATTAAATTGCCAATCTAGATATTTAGTCTTTCTAGGAGGAGCGCGTCCTAAGGAATGGATCAGTGAAACCTATCCGGGCCGAATTCCAACCTTTTCCAAAAATCAAGTAGAGTAATCGTATTAATTGATTGAAGGAATGTCCTAGGAGGATCTAATACTATTATTAATAAGCAAAAAATAATAGAGAACAAAGTACGTTCAAGATGATCACCAAGGACATTAATGTAGTTTGTCTGCGCCATGTACTTGTCTCGTGTCTACCGACCATTATACTGGTACATGCAACCTTATCTTCCTGACTATCAGTCGGAGTGATCAGGTTTTTTTCAACTCAACCTATCAGAGCTGCCCGGCGTGACCTTGTGACCATAACAGATTTCTACTCAATCTTTGGAACTACGGGATGCTCGCTGATGGGTTCCAGTTTGGCGCGAACGCAACAAGACTCACAGATTTCAGGGCGAAACTGCGTGCTAGCTTGAAGAGATACCGCGAGGCGTCGGAGATGGGTACGACTGCTGCCGTTGGTATCCATCGGAGGTTATTCCGTCTGATACAGGGAACGGGATGAGATTGAGCAGCTGATCCACAGTTTGTCAAAACGCTTGTATCGTTGGGCCAGACACCTTGAAAAGCAGTTTAATCAGCCAGAGTTATTAGCTTCCTTATCCGACAGTGATCGTGATTCGCCCTAACTGTTCGCTTCGATTCGCACTCACGTGCAGAAGTCGACTGTGAGATCAGACCGTAGGAATTGAGTAAAGCCGCAAAAGCGAATAGAATTCTTCCAGACCACATCAGATTTGGAGAAAAAGCACTTGTGAATGATTTGCTGTGGGAACAGGAGAGTGTCCTAACAAACTGGAGTCCCGTTGTGTTCCAAATTCCCAAGGGAGACTTACGTCCGGGATGCGACAATCGTAGAGGAACCAGTCTGATCTCGACGGTCTCTAAATTGGTTGCGTCTGTTGTTCTCCACAGATTGGCTGACACCGGTGAAGGCCGGATTCCATCGAAATCAAGGCTGCCTTGACCACACTTGTTGGAACGCCGCCATATTTATTGCCGTCCCAACTTAGTCGTGTTCCTCGACATCAAAGGTGCATTCGATTCGGTTGATCGGTGTGCCCTTTAAGACTGTTTGATATGGAAAGGCGTGCCCGAAAAATCTGCAACTATCACAATGGCGCTGTACGTGCGTAGTTTGGGAAGAGGTAGAGTTTATACGAAACTTTCGCAACCCTTCAATATCTCCAGCGATATAAGAAGTTTTTCCGCTGTTTCCGTTCTCCTTTATATCGTTACTGACGAAGTCGCGAGAACTGCGTGCTCTGGAATTCCTTTCGGTGGAATTTTTAACGCACGCTTTTGGTTTTATAAAACTATGGTACTTCATTTTTTCTCCGACTACAATTCTTATCATTTTGACCTGATCGCGCGAGTTTTTGAAATCGCAGTGTTCCCGCAGTCACATTTTAACTTTTATCGAAAAATTCATGGAAACTGTGTTTACTGGACACGACCTACATGTAGAGCTGCTCCCAGATGATCGACTTTTCAACTTAATGTATGCTGCTTATGTTACCCTCATTTCTCATAGCTCCCAGCGTGCCGAGCCGCACTGGATAGTACTGGCTGTCAATTGTTTTGGGCTTTGGTTTGTAGCCACAAAGTGCAAATCTTTTCTCCACAACAGACAGGGACCCACCTGTTCAGAACTAACGCAAGATTTGCGAACACAGTAACATCTCGTATCCGAAACGACACATTGGTAGCAAGACACAACGATAGCACGTTCCGTGTATTTGGCAAGAACTATGTACAATATGTCTATCAGATAGTTGAGGACAACCCGCTGGTGGTTGGGTGAGCGATAGACAGACCTTCGCGCGCACATGCTGCGTATGTGAACTTCTGACTGCGCTGATTCTTGTCGGTGATTAGCTAGCACTCGTTCAGAAGTTCAAATGCTTAAACATATGTCGCCGCTTGTGGAATAGAAGACAAGACCACGAACCGTATAGCAAAACCTCGATGCTTTTTTTAACCAATCTTCCTCACCTGTGGTGCCTTCGCGACATCACTCGCGCTAGCGGATAGTGTTTGCGACACAGCCATAAGTTCAACTCTCCTGTGCGGTTGAGAAACCTAGCCCATCGAATCACTAGACATAAAGAGGCTAGTTACCTTCGAACACCACCGTTTCACGTTTCACCTAATGTCTGGTGGGACTACCGCGTAAATAGTGAACGACTTTGACGTCTCGAGTGAACCGCTCAGCATCGTTATATCGCGCACCAACCTCCGTTGGCTAAGTCACGTGTTGCACATGCACGCACACCGACTCTGCGCGAGGTGCGTCGTTTGCGTTACCGGAGTCTGGATGGAAGAAGAGGAAGCCAAGCGATGACTTAACCAAGATGTATGAAGACTCTTACTTCAAACTTGCCGTCGGTTGGTGTCTTCCGACAGTCGGATTGGGGTCCGCAGGATGACAAGCATATTTGGTCGGATATACTTGTTAATATTTCAGTTTCCTGACTTCATTGACATTTATGTGTCAAATTTGTTTGTCCTTCCTCCTCCTCCTCCTCCTACTTAGCTTCCCTGTCCGACCACGATCTCACAATAGGGAACGAAGCATAATCTTGTTTCTATGTGTTCCATACTATTCGATAGTTTCCTTTTCATCAGCCGCCGAATTGCTGCCGCCTCCGCAAACTGTAGTAAACGGGGATTAGCCTGTTTGCTAACTACCCTGAAATTGCCACGTGGGTTCTGGCATTCAGGGCAGTCTAGTATGTGGCGGGCAATAGAGCTAGTTGGTAGCTTCGGACCCTTAGCAATCATGTTTCGCGGAATATGCTCTGCAATCCTCGCTGACAGCTTTCTCTCAGTTCGGCCTACGTACTTGCTACCGCAAGTACAATTAAAGAGGTAAATGCAAGAGGCGGTAACTTGAGAGTCTGGTCTGTCCAGGTAGCAAGTACGTAGGCCGAACTGAGAAAGCTGTCAGCGAGGATTGCAGAGCATATTCCGCGAAACATGATTGCTAAGGGTCCGAAGCTACCAACTAGCTCTATTGCCCGCCACATACTAGACTGCCCTGAATGCCAGAACCCACGTGGCAATTTCAGGGTAGTTAGCAAATAGGCTAATCCCCGTTTACTACAGTTTGCGGAGGCGGCAATCGCGCTATCCCGTCTTTATTCTTGTGTCATAACAGCCAGTGCTTAATGGTAGTGATGATCAGCCGTTTTCCTTGCCTTCCGTCGATTTCAGATGCCTCGTCTACTTCATCGGCTGTTGGTGTTTTGACGACGTCTACTTCTGGATCCACCGACACATTGCGCTTGCTCTTCACCTCTCCAACTACTCAAGCTCAATCACAGGTTAGCATTTCGCTACCGCTTTTTTGTTCGAATCACACCCCATTTTCCGGATCCTAATATTTCCCTTCTCTTAATTCCAGCCAACATCGACAGGATCCACTCTCAAGTGCGTTTCAACCACCTCTGCGCCTATCGTGTTCCCACGTGGAGTGCGTCTGCTACCTAATGTTCATCCGAGTTCCATTATTTCCAGCCCACTACGCCTCTTGGATGGGAAGATTGTTCGGGCCACTCCTTCACTGCAGCCAAACATTACCATTAACCGACTCCCTGCATTCGTAACTCCTATCTCAACTGTGGATTCTAGTGCGGTTCGTGTCATCATTTCGTCCGCTTCGTCTACGGATAAGAGTATCACTTCAACAAGCACAGCTGCTCCTACGGTGTCGAGTTCATTTCGTAGGTTTCCCATCTACTGTTTGTCTGTCATGCCTAGGAACACCGTTGACACGACGTTTGGTTGTACTCTATGATTAATCAACTTTCGCTTTATCTACACGCAACTCTTGTTTGAGCTCCTCACTTGATCCGAAACTCTGAGCCAGTGGGGAGCTGTGGACAAAGACGACAGTGTCCCAAATGGCTGTTTGACATGTTGTCTTGTTATCTTGCAGCGCGGGTTCGAGCCTGCAGTGACCGGGCGGCCCTCGCAGTACCCTTAGCGCACGTGCGCGGCAGCGAAGCGTCGGTACGCAGTAACGATGCACTACTAATGCCTTTTTTGTCTACCTTGCACCCAATCCATATGATCTCTACCAGTGTTGTTGCATCATCCTTTGCACAAATATCGGTGCAGTACTTTCATACATTATCACGTTCTACACCATAGGCGACACATCGACCGCCTACACAAGCACATCGGATACCAGCGTCTCCAGCATTCCCTCTAACACCCTTTCATCTGTGGCTACTCGCTATCAGCCCGCTATTTTGAGGCGGACACTGGCCACTGTGTCTCCCGCTGTGGGCAAACCTGTTGCTTCTCCCACAGAATTCAAATTCTTCACCATTCCCCAATCGCAATCAGTTGCAACCACTGTCGCGTCGAGTACCGCGCGGCAAGTAGTGTGTGGTGAGTTTCTATCTCTGCACCTTCTCTCATTGTTTGTCCTCTATGTTCACATCGACAAACGGCAGTCTTGGTGGTTTCACCTCCGTCTGCATCCAACTTTCAGCCTCCGAATCTCTACACGATTTTTGCGTGTTTGCAGTGTGCATGCATGCATTCAACTGTTCGCAGCTACATGGTGAGGTAGCACGCCAGTGCACAGTGTTGGCATGCTACTGGTAATACTACTACTATTACGACTATTACTGCTGCTACTACTACTACTACTAATAATAATAATAATTATCGTTATTAGTATTATCGTAATAATGTGTCACCTGTACGCCGTAACGATGCTTCGCTAACGCGCGACCACCACCAGTTCGCGCAGGCTGAGTATATCACGAGGATGCCCACCCCTATGCGGATTCTAACCGATGACGTTATGGTTGCAAACCAGGCGCGTAGACCACGACCACCGGCCGAACGTGCTGCTGGTACGTTATAATCGTTCTAGTCTGTTGCAACAAAATCACCTAGCCTTCAGCTGCTATTCCCCTGACAAAACCCGTGGCTTAAGGAGTCACAAGTCTGCCGTGTAATCCGAGGTCGCTGGTTCAAACCTACGTAGGCTACCGGGCGATCCTCTCAATATCCTTAGCCCAAGCGCGACTGTTGGTGGTTGCGCAGCAGCGAATCGTCGGTACTGCGTACCGGCGTACTGTTGACACCCCATTCTCCTAACATGGACAAAGCAAGCGGCGATTTTTACGTGGTACTTTTTACTCATTGTTAGAACTGCGGTCAGTGGTCCGTATCGCCTCTCTGGAAGAAGCTTTTACAACTATGTCATTGTTATCGTAGTATTTCTCACTTCCACTAAAAACCTCTCCATTATGTCACCCGCTTTTTATTGGTCTTTGAATTCTGGCCATTTTCAGACTACCATAGCTAAGGTCGCACTTCTCATTCGTGAAGAACAGATTTGGTTTGTTACTGATGTTCTCTTTCATATCCTGGGTTTGTGGCTTTTGTTCATCTTCCCGGATTAGCATTTTCAGCCCCTTTCTGATCTGGTATGATGCTGACCGATCGTAATTTGATAGAGGTGTTACACCTACGGTTGCTCCCATTCCTCACTCACAGGAGATCTTACTGCTCGGCTGATTGGTCAGCCGAAAACCACACCGGATGCAGATGCACCACAAAGTCGTCGATCTCTGGCCAAAGCGGAGCACGTGCGCAACATCCCGTTGGTGGAAAACCGTGTCGCACCCCTGACAGCATCAGTTCTGATTGCTCCACGCATTTTACCAAAACCGAACGGAGCCGTGAGCACAGCGTCACCCCTACGCTCACCGCTATCCAGCAGTGCGCAGGTCACGTTGGAAAAGGCGGTGCAGGAGGCGTCTGCACAGCTAAAGCAAATCGAAACTGAAGCGATATCAGTCAAGTCGGAGGTATCTTTTAGGGCCAGCCTCATTTTCTCCAGTCGTATTAAGACCGCTTATTTTTAGTATATCACTTTTATTTTTCGTTTGTGGACACGGTTTCCATTCGCCAGCTTGCAACATCGGCGATAGTCTGACACATTTACCAAGTCTGCTCAACGGACGTCGAGCACGTCACCTCTGTTTTTGTATGGTTTTTACATTACATACCTGCGAGTGGCGCTCTTCTGATCATATAAGTCAGCTACATTTTCATCTGGGTGTTTTTGCCTGCTCATTTTTTCACCGAACAAAGACACTCATCTGGTCCAAGGAGAGTGTCTTTGTTCGGTGAAAAAATGAGCAGGCAAAAAAACACCCAGATGAAGATGTAGCTGACTTATATGATCAGAAGAGCGCCACTCGCAGGTATGTAATGTAAAAACCAGACAAAAACAGAGGTGACGTGCTCGACGTCCGTTGACCAGACTTGGTACATACGTCAGACTCTCGTCTGGTCCAAGGAGTATTGCGGCACAATAGCGGAGGTGTTTTCCCACCTCTAGCTGATGTGTATAATGATGATGATGATGGTCCAAGGAGTTGGTCAGTCGTTTTCGATTTACAACGTATTCTGTGTACGACCTATACCTTTTTTCTTTATTCATGTGGTAATCTCGATCTTACAGCGCTCATCGTTTTCTGGGACGCAGGTGACACTGATATGGTACCAGTTACTACCCGGTTAACAAGCCTCGGATCCCTCATTGCTTTTGGTCACGTGTTTTTTATTTCACCATCTGACGAGTCTTTGTCTGTAAGACAAGTATGATGGTCATTCCTGCTATTTGTGGACATTATGTTACGGTGCCTTTATCCGTTCGATTACTATATGCGATAGACATCCGCAATACCATGGAACCGAAAGCAATCGGCGATTCTTTGTAGGTGACAATTATATAAAGATTTATTGGTCCATATTGTCTTTCATCCTATTGCCCGTGAGACCCACAATAGGCTTGGCTCGATACATTATAAGACAGCTAAAGTGTATTTGCCACTGAGTTATCCGTGCAGTTAGCTTGCTTATGGCACAGAGCATCGAAAGACGCAATGGAGTTGTCTCATCGATGCCGCTATATTGTCGCACTGTGGTCACCACCCGTTTGGGCCATGTATTGTCGACAACATACGTGCATGGCCCAGACTGTTTGCATGGGTTTCCTGTACATTGTCTTCCACTGTTGATGGTAATGTGAATTGTCGGTTACTTTAATAGTGCACTCGCGTTATTCTCTCTCTGCCTTCTTTGGTAGCTCGCATCGATGGAGCGTAAAATGGTGGAATTGCGAAAAGAATTGAGCCGTCATTCAAAACTGCGCTTTCAAGGACAGCCATCCACTGCACAGCCCTATTCGCTCTATCGGCGCAACAAGGATATCACATCTGAGGTACCGGACACCGTAGTACTTCCTTCACAACTCCCACCAGTGAACACTTACGTTTGGCCTCCTGTCAATTGGCCAGAGGATCACAGGCGGGTTAGTTTCTCACACTGTCTTTGATAACATAGCCTCGTATGCATCCGTTTAGCCAGACCCAGTTGCGGTTGTTTGAACCCAAAGCGGCGCGCACTGTCGTGCCGCTCGGTTCTCACGTGAGAACGCCTTTACCCACGCTTCTGATGAAGTCCGCTGAGACTTTGTTCAAGGCGGGAACATCGTGTTCCTGTTGAAAAAACAGCTAGCGCGACACTATTGTTTCTGATCCCGGCTCAGCTATACTCGCCAACAATCTTTAATAGTGATCAGAGTGCAACGTCTCATTTTAGTAAAGTGGCTCTAATTACATCATACGACATTCTCAAATGTTCTATCGATATTTACCACCTCTGTGACCTGCCACTTGCTCCCATTGGTTGGCTCTGAAAGCCCTGTATACTTATCGGTTAGATCTGGAAATTTCGCCTTCTCATTGTTCGTCTCCAGTTCAACCGATTTTAGGCGCCGCTAATCCAAAGCTGTACTTTAGGCACAACAATGAATGTGACATGTCATTCGCCCCGCACATTCATACACTCTCTCATGAATGCGGTTAACCTGTCCCAATACTCTCTTCTTGTTGGGGCTCCCTTACTTCCAGTTTGTTCCATTTATCTGAGTAGCGTTTTAGTTTTCTTTCCGCTGGCGTTGTTGATTTCAAGTTGTCTAACATTTCCCCCTATATGTTTAATTCTGTTTTCAAAACACCATGCCTGCCTCAAGTTGGATTTGAAGTATCCGCCGTGTTTTTGGATTGCAACACGCAATCTCTGTTGAGGATTCGATTCATTTTGGAGTAGACCTCGGTCATTCCGATCACAAGGACCGTATCGCTCCTCCCACAACTGACGGTTTCGTCATGTGTCGTACTCATCAGGTGAAGATGGCCTGAGCTGAAGTGAAACTCGTAGTGTAGTGGTTCACAGCTGACGCCTTGATCACGATACCACTAAGATTCGTGAGCAATGCTTGGTACCGTGTTTATAAACACAGTGCTGCGTGCTGTATGTTCAATTCTGTCCTCAAAACACCACATGCCTGTTCTCTGTTCACTTATTGCGGTGTTTATCGATCTGGGCAATTTGATTGCAAACCTTTATCATCGCTATCCGAGTCAATATCACCTGTGTAGTGGTAGCAGTTTCGTAGCAGAATGAGGTGGAAGTCATATCCATTTGCGAATCGTAGTGGCTGTCTCTGATTCACCATTTTTGCCCGACGAATCCAGACCTGAACTGGCTCAACATTGGAATGCGGAGAATATGGAGCGACTTTGGTGTTGCGCCTATTCCCAGTCTGTTCCCGTTACTCCATCTGACTGATTTGTTACGCAGAATGTCATGGTTGTTGCCAATATTTCGCATAGCAAACCAAGCACATTTCGAACGATTCAACTAAGTTCTTCTACTCTTTAGAATTAATTGATACTCATAGGAAATGGCCTCCGTGTGGTTTTTAGAGCATCCTTGAGACGTTTACCGTATCTGTTCAAGCACTTCCTACTTTATGAGAGTTCATCTTCTTTAGCTGTCACTCCTCGGTTTTCTTGCTATCTTGGCACTTCCAGTAGTTACTGCCATTCGATTTACGACAATTTCCATACTTTCACCGTAGTCTAGGCAAACCCTGATTTTATTTTGTTTACAGTGGTACAGGGTTGATATTTGATCCATGACTTGTGGTATCCCGCATTCCCTTTCGCCGTTGTCATGCGTTCTGTAGAGATGTTCGCCGCGGACGAGATTTTTATCAAAATATTTATCTTTCCACGCCCGTTCCACTCTGGTTTTTAGCGACCCAGCACAAGCAGCCTGTTCCGATGGGATGCCAGAAATCTCCGGTCCTTGATTCTCGCGGCGGGTCGACGCGAACTCTCCGGATACGATGTAGAGAAGAAAAGACTTGCTCAGGTGAGTCCCATGTTGGTCCCAACTTCCAGTGCAGTTCACTATTGAGTTGCGTTAATAAATATTCCTTTACTCATCTTTTTACTCTTCACTTTCGCTTTGTTTTTAATCACGTTTTTCTCTCTTCTCCTCACTAGACAGCTACATTGCGTACCGCGCAGTTCGCGGTACCCTCCTCTGTCAGCCAACCCATTACCGCTAACTATCAATGTCCGATTTCTCAGATTTAATGGTGAAATCCCGTTGTGTGCGTACGCGATCCCAGCAATGGGAGAGCGAGAGTAACATAGTCACTCAAGTTTTCAGTCGCATCGCTGATCTGTCGAAATGGGCAGCTAGTCTTTCCTTGCTGGGTCTCGGTGCATTTGTGCGATGTTACACATTTCGTCTTCAGTCTCATCTCCCGTGTACACAAGTCTGGAGACTAGGTATGTTCAGCCGTACGGATCGGATTTCAGTTGGCTGTTTTGCCCATGGGAGCTTACCGATGAACATCGTTTCGTTCATCTCGGGGAGTCGAAATTACTAAGATGGGTATTATGACATAAAATCAAAACAATGCGATTCATTCGCGAAGTCAGCAACCTCTATCTCGTTTCTCGATCTTAAATTTCTTCTCAGACAACCATAGTTTTTGCTAGCTGTTTTCCTCTAGCTTTTCGCCTCTGTTTGTCATTCATCTTTACGACGGCATTAGTTGGATTCAGCTTCATCAATGAAAAACAGCGAAACACTCCTAGGCTGGGCTGCGTTCATCGGCACACAGTCGTGCCCAGCCAGAGTGTCGTTTGTTGTCCTCTAAGGTCCAGTGGCCTGGTCAACATCTCTCTAGCCACTTGTGATGGCATTAGAACACACCCAGCCTAACAGTGACCCAACTTTGTACGTCAAATCATTCGGTATTGGTGCTTCTCGTTCGTACTGTTTCCTCAGGTTCACCATCGTATTGAATGCGATTCAGAGATGGCAGTGTAAACAACTACACCAGCATCCGTTAGCCGCATTTCGCGGAACTTAGGCTAGTGGCGCCCAAGCTAGTTTTCAGCGACTTTGGTTCCCCTAATGAGGTCAATGATTGACTTCCTTTGGCTATGCTAAATCAGGTGAAATATAGGTAGTGTGTTGTGTATGTGCCACAGCTAAGTCCTCTTCCTCTCTGTCAATCGAGCACACTTTCTGTAGCCTACAACTAACTGAACGGATGTTAATCGATTAGCCACCAACAAAATAACTATGCGTCACAATTCGCAGTACACTTTGGTGCATGTTTCTTCCGGAGTGTCCTTATTATTCAATTCATGGGGCATACATCATACGGATTACATGGGTCTAGCGTAATGCACCTTCTTTGATACAACACCGTGCAGCCGTATGCGAATTTGAGTCTGACCTGAGCATTCAACCTTGTGCAGGAGCGGAGCTTCAGGTTTCAACCAGAGACCCGAACCACCGCACCTCATCTTTCTGCGAGTCATATACAAGTGCGAAACAACTGTTGCGTCACAACCGGGTGGCTATACTAAGAAAAACAAAATAAATAATATCATTATTTTCTGACGCGTTACTAATGAGCTCTTGTTTAGAGGAGGTCGCATGGATGAATGAGGGGCAAAACAATAACACTGCTGTCGGCTTTACTAACAAATATTTCCAACCAAATGTCCTTACTGTCATTGGGACCCTATACTGTCCTATTCCGCATCAGATCATGTCTTATTCTTCTACATTTTCAACTCATCTTGAGCCAGTTTGGCAATAATGTGGTATGGTATCGCATCGATTATCAGGGTTCGGGCATTCTTTACGGTGTTGTATCTTCCAGGTAGTGAATATTGAAAGCGGGTATGCAACTTGCTCTCTCTGACCCCTTGAACTGACCCAATCGTCGGGGCCTGGTCCTTTGCTGTGCATCTTATCTGCAGATGCCACTCCGCCCAAACGGTTCCTCGTATTCAGCGATGGCTCTGAACTCTGGTCCTGTCAGTATCGGAGAAATGCATGTGCTCACTGGAATTCAGAATTTATATCGACACCAAGCACAATCAGGTCAGACGTAGGCTGACACAGCGTTTCCAAGCTGCTAAGACAATCTGACGGATTCGTAAGATGAACGAAATGACGAAGGCATGACGGGATAGCAAATTGCACTGCCCCTTCCAACTGACTTGATCCCCACCCCATGCTGCAGTCATGTGTCAGCAACAACAACAACAACAACATCCGTCTTTGTATCGGCACCTCGCTATCATGCAATGCTTACGAGAAATTAGCCGTCGTCTTGACTTAAAGCGATACATGAGTTGATGTCCGTTTGCTACGTTATGTGTCGGGGACTTTAAATCGGCTGTTGCCTTTACATTGAACATCAATTTTACATATCTACTGCGGATACCAAAAGTTTAGAAGGAACACTTTGACATCTTTTTTGTCAAGGTCAACAAGACTGGTATTTTCAATGCAAAGCCCAGCTACCGCGGACTGTTCGCGTTCTGTTGGTTTTGGTCACGAACTTTTGGCGATTTGAAAACAATTAGTACGAACTGACCTCATAAAACTATGCTCTGTCGGCTTGAAAAGCACACGAGAATGTTTCGTCACCACTCGAGGTGTCACCTCGAATGGTGACGTAAGCTGTCTGTTTCATGCAAAGGTCATCAGCACGGGCATGGTACGACCTTCGACTTTTCCGCCGGATTTGGGAATCGAGTGCGAATTGATCGGCAAACAAGTACAACCCCGCGTCAATGTAATCGAACTAGTTCGTCAATATGGTAAACCCGTGGAACGGAATTCAGTCACACTGGCTGAAAACCAAACCCAGAAGAGTGGGTGAACTTGACCTTCAAAATTAGCATGTTTCGATTACCAATATATAGGGTTGACCTATCCGGTAGATTTACTTTCTGTCTACCGTGTTTTTTTCTTATTTTCTGTATTGCGGCACAATAGCTGAGGTGTTTTCCACCTGCAGCTAATGTGTATAATGTTGATATCTACCGAGTTCTGGCCTTTGTGTTCCTTCGGCTGGCCGGACGCTTGATTGAGCAGTCAGACGGTCGCAGTCTCACAGGTGAAGTAAGCAGCAGCGGCAGCAGTACAACAGTATCCATTTATAACATTTTGCATTTGTCGAAATGTCATTTTACTTACTCCGCAGTTGACAATGTAAAATGCTGAAAATCCGAACATCTGGGTACATAAAACTTACCTTGACTTGACTCCTCATGGACTTCAGACTCGAGTTGTGAAGTTGGAAATTTCCAACTAATGGAATCCTTCGGATATGTTCTCTGATACAGACCAGTGATGCTAATACATCGAATTCTGTTGCTTCCTACGCCTTTTGTAAGTTCCAAGTGTGCACCTAGTTGATATGATCACAAAAATAAAGATTGCCATCTCCTTCTTTATCGGTGCGATCCCCTCGGCAGTTTTTCCTGCTTTTACTAGTGATTTCTTTATAGTGCTTGCTGTCCTACTCTTCGTTTCATGCATACTTATTCTTTTTCGGAACCTGAGAACAATGTTTGAATTGGAGCACGTCATAGCGCTGTTTTGATTATAATGTGTTTTTCTTTTTAGCTTTCAGTTTTGTTCACCCAGACGGGCTGGGTTTGAGGTTTGGATTGGTATTCCGAGCTGGGTTTACTTTTCTTGACAATCTAGGTATTATCTCCCTTTTATTCTTCTCCCCTGCTAGGTGGTTTGGCCATATCCGTCCGCCAAGCCAACACTGTCGGAGGCATGGCGCTTCCGCCTCAGCCATCTTCGGCTCGGTCCCGATCGGAACGGCAAGAAACCAAGTCAACTGTCCAAATGCAGTCTTGACTTAGCCAATTTGGCCTTGTTGTTGCATACTCTATGGTACTGCATCCGTTGGGATGAAATGTTGATGGACCCCTCGGAGGATAACGATCACATCATGGATGCAGAGGGCCATCCTTGTTTACGGGAATTGATGGACTATGTAGATTCAGGCAGCTTGAAGTCCGGAGAACCTGCTTACTGCACCCGAAAAATTGTGGGCGTCAGACCATTGGTGAGTTGCTGACGCACATGCAGGAGTATTTCGCACATGATCTGTTCGGAGCGTCTCTTGAGAAAGAATTGTAGCTTATTATCATTGGGATGACACACCGATCGGAATTACTGCTATGAATAGGTTATCCTTGGATTTTCGTCTCTGTTTTCCCTGCTTTGCTCGGATCATACATCTCATCATTACTGTGACGTATTGCCATGCACGCTCACTCTAATACATGCGATTACTACGTTCCGCTCCATTCCAAATGATTCCTCTCATTTTATTCTCACAGGACAGGTTTTGGCAACGAGTCACCTATCTCGTTCATTTAACACACACCGTCCCGTCGGGTAACACAAAAGCCAAAAAATCTCGCACTAACAGTCGCGCTTCTCGAGGCCCTGACCGCGGTACGATCTCCAGGCGATCAGCTAAGAGTAAGGCTTCTTCGGGATCCGATTCCCCGGCTACCTCGCCCCAACCTCGGCGACGAGGTAAAGGAGGCAAAGCGTCCGGTCAAGATCCCGATTATGATCCCGCTCATGATGAGGGCTGGCGTGTAGGAGTTCCGTGTCCTAATTTAACTGGTCGGCGAAGGGCTTTTGATCGTAATCGGCAACGTTCTGGCTATGATTCGGAAGACGACGACACACTGGGCCCTGGCGGCGACGGCGATCGACAGGTGACCGACTCTCGAGGTAACAAAAGCAAAGCAAAAACCAATGCTGAGAAGTCGCAACGCGAGCTCCACGTTGAAGAGCAGTGGATGTCGGAAGAAAGTTTCAGGCTCTGGGAAATACGTTGCTTTATGGATGAGTAAGTCTCTGGGTTCTTGTAAGAAACAACTTCTCTTGCTCATTGGCGCTGTTGTTATTGTCGAGTTTCCTTCGTCCTTCGGTGCGTTACAAAGGCACCTTTAATGCGCGCGTTTACTTTTCCAATGCCGTGCACGATATGTCACTCGTACGCGCTTCTTTTTAGATTTTTACCTCCAAATATGGATTATCTAGAATCGCTGAATTCTGCTCCAGGCAACCTCGATGTACCAGTTTTGCGCCGTCCCTTCCGACTTCAGACCCCCGCATCAGAAGTCGTTCCACCGTCCACTGACGGAATGGAGCCACCACCGCAGCACACCAACGACATAACTGACTTTGGGGTGAATACTACTGGCACCACTTTGGACACACATTCAAAATTGCCCACGTGTTCAACTTTGGTCGGCGCACTTAGTGGCCCACAGCAGTTTCAGCGTAAGTTGCTCACTGGTGCTAGCTGTTTTTTGAAATATGTTATTCTCGGCCGATGGCCGGGTGGTTTGCACGCCTAGCTTGCAACCATAAAATCACTGGTTCGAATCCGTGTAGGAACGGGCTTCCTCGCGGTATACTTATCCCACGCCCGACTGGTAGTGGTCGTGCGGCAGCGAAGCGCCGTCACGGCTTACAGCTGACGATTTATTATTTATTTTATCCATTGGAAGTTCGAACTTTGCTCGTCCGAGTCTATCCCCGCCCTTTTTGGTACGCGGTTTGCATGCTATTCGGCCGTTGGACTGTCTAGACAGTCTAACAGACCAGCACAGTATCTCGAACATTTTCTCTCCTCATGTCCGTAATGCTTCATCTACCTCGGTCTCCCCGTCCATTACTATATTGTCCCATCTGCACAGGCGTTTCTTGGGTTGTGGAACCTGATCGTCGTCGCCTCGTTGTGCCTGACACGAAATTAGCTCAATCTTCCGATGGTATTCCCCCCGCACCAGTCCGCCGACGTGTTCGTGAGAACATTTCATTAGAGGGTGGCCTACAGCCTGAAAATCTTGATTCGCCGTTCGTTCTTGATGCGAAATCCAAAGCCCGCTCTATAGCAGCAATGCGTGCTGCCAAAGCCTCGGTTGCTGCTCGCAAATTGAAGGCAGAACGGATACTTTTGGATCAGCGAGTGCGTGCTCTTCGCGCGCAGCTTGTCGCGCGCAAGCGACTTCATTTATCATGGGCACGACTCCTGGCTGAAGTAAGTTCCAATTTGAGCTCTGTTCATTGGCTTAGTCTTTTCTTTCAAGTGCCGTCTCATTTGTTGGACAGGAGGCCGAAGGAAAGGGGCGTTTGCATTGTGACTTGCATACCACTGGTCGCAATCTGCTTTGGGGAGCGGCACCTCTAACTATCCGTCTATATATATATATATATATATATATATATATATATATATATATATATATATATATATATATATATATATATATATATATATATATATATATATATATATATATATATATATATATATATATATATATATATATATATATATATATATCAGTGGGTAATAGACAGGTAGGCACCTTGTCAACGTACACATCAAGCGCAGCCACACCGGGGATGTAAATGACAGCCAATCACTTGAAATGACATTATCAAATAAAGTATATCTGTTAAGGAATACGGCTATGAAGACATAACTCTTTCGTAAATTGGCATATGAATTAAGTTGACTAGCGGCAAATTCACGATAAGTACAAAATGTCCAGAAGTTACTCAAAAATGTCACAAACGGAGCAACGTTATCGAAGATAAGCGCAATTAGCGTAAGCAACGTGGCCAATTAATAGATTATTCAGGTACGCAAAACAAACCAGATAAGGTGAAATGAAATCTATCCAACTTAAAAAGGCCTAGTTTAAGTGTGTGGGTTTAGCCCAACTGCGGTGAAGAAGCACCAAGTGTTCTAGATCAGCCTCGGCGTGGGACACACCTACATACATGGTTGGCGGCATCCGGTTTCGGATTTGCCTGTCACTGTGGCCAGCAACAGGACGCCTGCAACTACAGAGAGACCATGGGTGGCTTGCGCTACAACACCCACATCTCTAACTACACGCCCCGTATCCAGTGTAAACTCGAAGGAATGCGACCGGGAGGCATGTGGATGGGAGTCACATTTCATCAACGGAGCCGGCACACACTGCTTCATAGGCAAACACACGCAGGCTGTATTTGGGGAATCAAGCGCACACAAGGCGGTGGCTGGACCGTAGTCCGCTCCACACTGAGTGCATGAAACCACTCTGATCCTGACACGGCCACAAGGACCGTGCACCGTGTCTCCTCCAGCAACGATCAACTGTCTCCTAGAGCCGGTATGGACGGGGTAGTGGGTAATAGACAGGTAGGCACCTTGTCAACATGCACATCAAGCGCAGCCACACCGGGGATATCAAGAAACAGGAAATTATTTGAAACGACGAGATCCAATAAAATGAGTCCAATAATGGATGCAAATACAATGACATAACTCTTTAATAGCTTAGCATGTGAAATAAATTGGTTACGAAAAAATCTGCGATAAGTTTAAGACGTCAGAAGATATATTTTAAGAAAATGCCGCAAACGCGAAAGTGCTGTCAATTTAACTAAAGTAGTTTAATGAACGTGTGCAAATTTATAGAAGATAGTTCAGGTAGACATTAGTATGGGATAAAAGTCTTAGGACAATACAGCAAACATGGCATCTGGAATAGAGACTCAGCATGCAAGCCTGCGGTTAGTAAATCGACTGCAAGGTACCTACAAACGCTGCGCCCTTTCTGCTTGTGTTCTCAGCAGGACCCGTCGTCGTTTCGATGCTGGTCCCGAGTGGCGTCGCCCATGGCTCACTAGGACTGGCTGACTCAGGCACTCGCGACCACACGTGCTACAGCACCGTGCGTTCGATACTGATGGAGTACAACCCATCGGTGCTTGTCGCTTCCGCAATTGCCTCTCTCTGCATGCACGAGGGCTTTCTCCTGCACCTCGGCAACGGTCTTCATGATCAGATCGGGCCATCATCATCATCATTATTATACACGTTAGCTAGAGGTGTGGAACACCTCAGCTACTGTGTCGCAGTACATGGAAGAAACAAAGGAGAAAAACATGCAACAGGTGCAAGTCAGCTGAGCTACCGGTAATGGATGGCCATCGTTCCGGTAAGCTACCAGCCGGCTACTGTGCAGCAAAAACAAATTACTATGCAAAATTTTATAAGACTAACTAGTGAGATCGTGGTTGGAGGGAGAGGCTAATTGGGATGGAGTGGGACAAAGAAACTCACAGCACGAACGCCACTGAGGTCGGCTCCTAGCCATATCAGCAAGTGTGTCCAACCAAACGTGTTCATCGTCTTTCGGACCTTAACTAGGGAGCCGAGACGCTCCAACCGAGGCCAGGTTCGAGATGAGGGCCTTCGTTCCTCTTGACTAAGTCATCGCTTGGCCACCCCTCCACTTCTTCCATTCACATCCCCGGCGTGCAAACAACGTACATCGCAGGAGCCGATGGACACATGCGTAACATGTGGCCGAGCCATCGGAGCCTGGTGCATGAAATAACGGTGCTGAGTGGTTCATTTCCTGTGCGATGAACAAGGCCTCGAACCCGCTGGTTGCTCACGCGGTGTTCCCACCAGATGTGAGCTAAATTGCTAAGGCCCCGGTGATCGAATGTAACTAGCCTGCTTATGTATCCCGATCTACTAGGCCAGGTTTCACAACCGTACAGTAGGGTTGAACGTACCGCTGTATTGTACACTCTACCCTTCAGAGCGAGAGTGATGTCGCGCCGGCACCATAAGTGGCGAAGGTCAGCAAAAGCGCCCTGAGCTTTTACTATACGGTTCGTGATCTCGTCTTCGATCCCAAGGGCGCTGATAAAACTTCCCAGGTAGTTGAATTTTTCAACGACTTCTAGCTGATCGCCACCAACGGTCAGCGTAGGAGGCGGTCCAGGCCAATCTTGGATGAACGCTTTGCACTTCGAGGGTGCGAAGCATAGCCCGAAGTGACGGACAGCTCGTGCTAATCTGTCCAGTGCCGCTTGGCACGTTTGTGAGCTATCACAGAGTAGGGTAATATCGTCAGCATATTCTAATAAGTCGTTCTCTTGGGAGCAGATCCACACCTAAGTCGTGTACTGTAAACGCGATTTCCATGACTTCATCAACAGGGAAGTTGAAGAGGAAAGGTGACAGCGGGCATCCTTGTCTCACGCCGCTGGAGATATTAAAGGGCGACGACAGCTTGCCGTAAGTCCTCACTCTGCCCGAGCTACGCGCACACAATGCTCGGATAATGTTTACATATTTCTCGGGCACACCTTTCCTGGGTAGACAATCCCAAAGGGCACATCTATCCACCGAATCGAATAGGTCTTTCGTATCGAGGAACACGACAACCGTGGGCCGCCAATATATGTGACGGTGCTTCAACAACTGACGCAAGGTGAAGATGTGTTCAATGCAGCCACAACCTCGACGAAACCCGGCTTGCTCTCCACGAATATGGTTTTCACGAGTGCTAGTCAGTCTGTGAAGGATGACATAGGCGATCGAGATTAGACTGATTCCTCTATGGTTGCCGCATTCCGATCGTGAGCCTCTCTTGAAAATTGGGACTATGATGGAGCAGCTCCAATCGGTTGGGACAGTTTCCTGCTCCCACTGTTCCACTAGTAGCTCGTGTCAATCATCAACAAGAGCAGGGCCCCGAATTTGAAGAGGGCTGGAGGTAGATCATCTGGCCCTGCCGCTTTGTTCAACTTCAACAGTCTGACCTTATGTCCGACTTCCGAGCGAGAGGGTCATCATATCATATCATGCTACACGTTAGCTGGAGGTGGGGAACACCTCAGCTACTGTGACGTAATACATAGAAAAAAGGAGAGAAAAAAGCAACTGGTGCAAGCTGGCTGAGCTACCGGTAACGGATGGCCATCGTTCCGGTAAGCTACCAGCCGGCTGCTGTGCACCAAAAAAATTACTATGCAAAATTATATAAGGCTAAATAATGAGATCGTGGTTGGAGGGGGAGGCTAAGATGGATGCGGTGGGACAAAGAAACTCACAGCACGAAAGCCACTGAGGTCGGCTCCTAGCCATATCAGCAAGTGTGTCCAACCAAACGTGTTCATCGTCTTTCGGAGCAGGGCGATCAGTGGCCTGCGAGAAATCTAACAATTCCGACCGATTAAATTGTCTTTCAAAATGCTCAGCCCAATTCTCCAAACATTTTGACAAGTTGTGGATAAGCCGTCCACTCTCGTTATAAACTGTTTCACTAACACCAGGTCTCCTGCTGCCCGTTTCCCGTATCAGACGGAATAACTTATGATGGTTCCAAAGAGCAGCGACCATTTTCATCTCCGAAGCACGATGAGACCACCAAGATCTTCGGTCTCTCTTCAGACTAGTACGGATTTGCGGTGATCGTGCAAAAATAAGGCGGCATCGGCGAGACAGCTTCCGCGTCATAATCAGCCATTACCCCGCAGATAACTCAGCAGCAAACACACTTTAAACAGGCAATCCAATTAGGTGACTGCGGCAAACGCGCCATTGCCGTCTACTGCGAGCCATATCGTGTGAAGTCTCGAGCCAAGCACAAGGTGAGTCACGTGGACTCCAGCCCGGAAAGCGAGACGGACCAGCGGCACCCAGTTTGGTCGTCAGTGACTTCATTTCCCGCTGCTAAGTCAACTTTGTCCACCTCCAGCCTTGCGCCAACCTACATCTGGCAGACTGAATAAGTCCCTCCTAGGTAAGCGGTGACCAGGCATTCGTACCACGTACCCGAGCCAGCGCAACTTATTCAGTACTATCTGTTATTCTAGGGAGCTAGCATGATTATCACCACCTAGTACTCGCCTACGCACATCATCGTTGCGGACACGCTGGTGCAATCGGACACCAGCAATGCTTCGCTGACAACGATGATCAAAGACTTGAAGACGCCTCAGATCTTCAGACCGAAGGAGCCAAGTCTCACTACCATAGATCAGAACGGCCCTCGTATACACGGCCTCTCAGACGAAGGAAAATTCCCTTCTGTCGCTAAAGATGCCT